AAGAAACTTCCGCTTTCAAAAGACAGCCAGGCCCCGATTCACGGTAGAAGAGCTCTTTAATATCGAACAACAAGAGCAATTATGACGAAGGTATATAGACACATACCCAGATTACTCTTACTATGAACAAAAAATTCAAAAATATCAGGACAAAGATGTAAATTTTCAAAGATTTCAAAAAGAAACAGAAGAAACTTAGTAGAATTGCATTCCTTTGCTGACAAAAGAGAGTTTCATTATATTAAAATTCAAAATCTCCCTCTTAAACTTCTTATTGTTACAAGAGCCACTAAATCTTTTCTTAATCCTGATATAAACAAATAAATTCCCCAAAAATAATATTAAATATGAACCAGTTGCTACATCAATTTTTTTGAATCATTCAGAAGGTTATTCCAATTCCAATTTTTTCCGAATTTAACTCAAATATTAACTTAAAATTTTATATTTACAAAGCTTACAAGACATTTGATGGTCTTAATCTTAAGGCTTCTTAAAGCAAATCTCGATTCTACCCAAGCTACTCTTACTACAACGCATTCTATTCTTCCTATTAATTACTATGTCACAAATAAAGCCCAATTCTATATAGTCCACCAAGAGCCCTAAAGAATTATACAAGTCAAATTTACAGTAAAAGAAACATCAGGTAAAATCGTCATCCAAAAACAAGAAGTCGAAGGTGCCATCCTAAGAGAAATTCTCACCGTCGCATATAATCAACTTGCCTGGACCGAGCTAGTCAATAACACCGATGAATATATTCAAGTAGCAATAACGGATCCCATCAAAAGTCAACCAATAAATCTAAGAGATGTCGATCCTTTCCTAAGAACCGATCATTTTAATACAATAGAAGAATATTACCGAAAACGACAGTGCAGGAAGTTTGCATCATGCATATTTCATTATTCAGACGTCAGTTAACATTTACTAATCAAATAAAACATCATATACGAACAAGAGATGAAGTTCCGGTTTACACCAAGTCAAATCGGTATCCACACATCCATAATGATGATCGATCAAGAAATCATCAAACTGAGACAATTGCCCTGGTCGTCCCCAATGTGGGTCATTCCAAAGCAACCAGATGCCCAAGAAAAATTAAATGGAGAATAGTTGTCGACTACAGGAAGGTGAACAAGAAAACCATCGATGGTCTATACCCAATTCCAAATATAACAGACATTCTGGACAAACTAGGTCGCTGCAAATATTTTTCCACCCAGTTGTAGCCAGCGGATTACATCAAATTAAAATGAAGGAAGAAGATATTTGGAAGACTGCATAACTTAAGGGAACTTAACTGGAAGACTTAACGTTGAAAATGGCCACTATGAATGCCTGAGAATGCAATTCGGACTCAAAAGTGCACCCTCAACATTTTAGAGAGTAGGTAATGGAGAACATAATAAAAAGACTTACAGGCGAAATATATCTAGTCTACAGGGACATTTTCAACCTCACTTTAAGAACATATGGTAAATCTAAGAAGATTTTTGAGAAATTAAGAGAAACAAGATTTAAAATACAAGTTGACAAATGTGAATTACTTAAGAATAACTAATGCTTATATTATAATATAAAAATTATCACTAATACGTTATGCAAGCAAGACTATTGTTTATAAATACTAAAATAATTAACTAAAAACGCCTAAATAGGTTTTTAGAAACTAAATACGTCTTTTATAGATATATTACTTGTAGATGGAATAGTACAGTATCTACTATTCTGTAAGTTCTAGCATGCCAAATAAAATTCATTCAAACCGATAACATTCTTATTAAATCTTGTTGTAATTTGTCAAAGTGTTGTACAAAATAATTGATATGGCAACCCTGCTAGTATGACGATTCGCTTGAAGCGTTTCGAGGCCGAAAGTAATGCAATCTATCGATGATAAATACTACCAACGTTTGAGATGGAGCCACCTCTCTAGTATACAATTTGATGCCGGCAATTCAAGATATAATTATTGTTTAACGAGATTTTTCATATGTTTAGGAAAAAATATTCAACGTTTTATTGCAAATATATTCCACTTTTACAGTTTTATATATGTTGTTATTAAAATTTTTTCCGGTTTCTTACCGGTAGCTTTATTATAAGCCGGAACATAACATTTTTTCCCGTAGTGACAAAACTGTAAATTCAAAAATTTTCAAAAAATTCATAAGTATTTCTTAGGGTTATATCTTTATGCTGTAAAAAAAATTATCAAAATTGTATGTCTGGTTTTCCCGCTTTATACTTGGAAAAAAGTAGTTTTTTAGAGTTTTTTCGAAAACGAAAACATGAAGTTTGTTCAAACTTTGTCAAAATACTTTTAATTGTCACATATACCTTCTCAATTTTTTTCAAATTTTTTGAATTTGTAGTTTATTTTTTGGGGGGTGCAGATCAACCTTAAATAAAATTTACTTGGTAGAAAACTAACGAACAGTTTAGTTCGCAGATTTACTTCCAGAATTAATTTACTTTGCGTTTATAATACGCAAATTTGTAGAGTAAATTATTTTACTTTCAAACTAAATTTTACTTGGCAAGTAAAATGTTTTATAATACCGGGCATAAAAGTCGTATAAACAAACGAGACAGCTGTTGATTTGAATAGAATTATTAATTGTTTTTTAGTAAATTTCAGCATTATGACTACGCTAAAGTATTTTAAATCAAATCGATATTATTCTGGTCCTCAATGCAATTCAAGATCGACAAAAGATATGTCCCTATTTCTCTTTCCTAAACTGAAAAACTTGAAGAAAAAATAATTTATTATGGAATTTTTTAAAGACAAATCATGTGCTATGATATTTTCTGACAGGTGATCTCAAGTTAAGGTTGATTTCATGTAATCAAATAAACTATCTTACAATAAAGTCAAGTTCAAGTTATTTATTTATGTTAATATACAATAAAGTACTTACATATGTCAAAAAATAGTATAAAATAAAAATTAACATATTAAAAACATAAGGCATAATATAAAATAATGCATATATTAGTTAAGACAAACATTACACAGAATATTATATTCTGGATTCCCAGGTATACAAAAAATAGGATTCATCATCATCAATACACAAGCTAGTTCAAAACATTAAAGTTAAAATTTAGGAATTCATCACTTGAAAACTGCTTTCCCTTCAACCAATGGACTCTACATTCAGTTTCAATCGCGAATAAATGGGTTTTGTAATCTTGTGTACTCTGATGACGTAGACATACTTGACCCCGGTCTTGTAAGCAAATAGCCATACTTTGAGCTTTGGGTTTTGAATTGAAATACTGAGGGTGATGTACCCTCGGATTGATATTACATAAATTCTTATTTTTGTTTATTTAGTTAATTTTTCTGACCTTCTATTCATCCATTAATGCTGCTATATTCTGGTTGCTGACTTTTTCTTTTAGTATTGGTAACCAGAGTCTCATACATTCCTTTTGATGGGCATGATATACATTTTTCTTCATTAAACGTAAGATGGGGGCTACTTCGTACATTTTTCTCTTTTTGCAGTCTGTTTCTTTCGTGACTATTGAGGCCTTTTTCTATTGGACTCTGTGTCATTGTGCCAGACGTGTTTGCATATCTAAGATCTGTCGAAGTCTCTGTGTTTGATGTATGATTCATGCTTGTTTATCCTAACACTTAGTGGTCGTGAGGTTTGTCTGACATAAAAATTATTGCATTAAAAAATGTTTTATACTCAGAATTTCTACTCAAAACCTGGCAATTTGCTAAAAGATTGAGACCATGTTTCAGCAAATTTGACAGATCGTTACCTATCACATTGGCTGAAACAAAGCGCCAATTATTAAAAAAAAACTTGTCGCTGGGTTGGATCTACGTGATTTGTGCCACGCGAATCCTCGCCAGACGATCGGTACAATAAGGACTCTTCGTGGAGGTTACTTCCTTGTGACCTCCTTCGTGTTACTGATATCTATTTGTAACTGGTACAAATAAAAGACAAAATAAAGCTCTTTGATGGCTCTGGTTGTCTCTTCGTGACCTGGTTGGTTCGCAACACCCTTCCTATTATCAGGGGGTACCACGACAATAGGAAGGGTTTCTGTGGCGCGACTGCGTGTAAACCACATCGTCTTCAATTTGGAATTCGGTGACGAGGCTTTCTTTCTTCTTTGTAAGAGACCCTCTTTCGGAGATTTTCAACCATCTCTGTTTAAATCTAAGCATGTCAGGTCGCACCAGGTGACTTCTACGGATGCGATCTTGTAATGGCATGCTTCTCTAAGAAGCATGCCACTAGAAGCAGTCTCCTAGAAGGCCATCTAGGATGGGTTGGTCCTCTCCAGCCCTTTGGACCAAACGATTATTTCCACTTCCTCATCAGGGTCTTGCTCAAGTTCGGGCTCCCTTTGAGGATTTCTGGACAGATAGTCTGGGAGTTCGTTTTCTTATCTTGTCAGTTTTTATTTGTTCTCCTTGTAGCGGTCCAGCCAGAGTAGAACCCTGCTTTCAGTATATAGCGTCGTATTTGCGAAAGTCAACAAAATCTTCTTTAAGCCTCTTCTTTTCGGAAGGCGTGGCTTATGTAGGAGGATCTTCTTGGAGCTTTTTGGATGTGACTCCAGGAACAAACTACAGGTTAAAATACCTCCTTTTTTAACTATTTCTGGAGTGGAGATTGAAACTTCAAAGCAAATGTAAAATTTAATTTATATTACGATTAATTCTGGTTTAGTCCCATTTAAATACAATTTTTAACTTAAACATGCCATAATAAAACAGTTTTAGAACCCCTATAAAATGAAGGTCTACATCTAAACGGGATCTGGATCTCAATTTTACGAAGTACTGATAAGTATAAAATATCTTCCTGTGTGTTTCGAAAATTCTAATACCCATTCATGTCAATGAATGATTATGTATGAAATGATAGATCATTGCTTAAAGCACCCAAAAGAGTCTAGTAAATTTAAAAAATAGAAAAAATAAAGTTGATAATTATAAATTTACAATATTTTAGGGAGAAAGTATAGATTTGAGTCTTTTCATCCCGGAATTCCATACTAGTCGAAATATAGTATTAGCTTTAGAAAAACACGCTAAAGTTTTATCGAAAGATGGATCTACAACAAAAAAGACGGAGGCTATACCAAAATGGAGAAATATTTGCCAAAAAAGGTAAGATTGCAATTTACCATGAAAATATTTATTTTTCTTTGTTTTTAAGTGCTGATTTATAGGTATATTATATGTTCTAAAACTAATATAGACTAATTACTTGTTTTCATTATTTTTATACACTAACAATATTTTTAGTTATTTCTGAAATAATGTATTCTAATGTATTTCTAATAATAAGTTAGAATTGCCATAATGATTTCCATATCCGATAGAAAAAGGAACTTTAAGAAGAAGAATCATCCTTGATAATTATTTATTACATTTCTCTATCCTGGATAGTTTGCGTTCATCTTAGTTCAACGTAATCGTGTGAAGAAAAAATAAAAGAGAAAAGAAAATTATATAAACAGTGGCAAGAAAATAGGTCGGACACAGATCTTCAAAACTATATGGTCGATAATCAGTTTGTCTTTATGCAAGGCAGATCAACAGCAATTTTCATTATAAGGCAGTTGATGAAATATACAGGAGTAAAGAAACAAACGCTCATATGCTATTCATTGATCTTGAGAACGCATATGATTGCCACCTCGATTGAGTTCCTCGAGATACTGTATTGGAAAATCAATAAGAAAGGAGTCCCCGATGAGGGATTGTGACGATTGTGATGTATGAGGGAGTAACAACTAGTGTTAAGACAGGTGTGAAAGAGACTCATAAATTTCATGTGGAAGTAGGATTGCACCAAGGCTCGATGCTTAGTCCTTATCTATTCTCATTAGTATTGGATCAAATAATAGCGAAATTACAGAGTAACATTCCGTAATGCATGCTTAATGTATGCTGATGCTGTATTATTAATAGGAAATAGTGAAAGCTACTTAGAACAAAAACTGGTGCAGTGGAGACAAGCTTTTGAAAAAAAAAGGTTTAAAACTTAGGACAAAAAAGAGCATTTGGAATGTTCATTTAAAGATGGAGTTACTACACATAAACTAATATCTTTGGATGGCGAAATAATTGTGAATGGTAATAGTTTTAAGTTACAGAGTAATGAAGAAATGCGTGTAGTAGAATTATGGTTGGTTGGATGAAGTGGAAGGAAGGGAGTGATGTGTTGTGTGAAGCTGAAGGGAAAATTCTATAAAATAGACTCATAAATTTCATGTGGAAGTTTCTTGGTGCAATCAAGGCTCGATGCTTAGTCCTTATCTATTCTCATTAGTATTGGATCAAATAATAGCGAAATTACAGAGTAACATTCCGTAATGCTTAATGTATGCTGATGCTGTATTATTAATAGGAAATAGTGAAAGCTACTTAGAACAAAAACTGGAACAGTGGAGACAAGCTTTTGAAAAAAAAAGGTTTAAAACTTAGGACAAAAAAGAGCATTTGGAATGTTCATTTAAAGATGGAGTTACTACACATAAACTAATATCTTTGGATGGAGAAATAATTTTGAATCGTAATAGTTTTAAGTTACAGAGTAATGAAGAAATGCATGTAGAAGAATTATGGTTGGTTGTATGAAGTGGAAAAAAAGGAGTGATGTGTTGTGTGAAGCTGAAGGGAAAATTCTATAAATATATAATGACTAGCTATGATGTATGGAACTGAATGTTAGGCAGTTAAAAAGAAAGGGAAACAACGAATGCATGTGAAGGAAATGAGATTGCTTAGATGGATGAGTTGAGTGACAAAAAAGGTAAAAAATTAAAAATGAGTATATTAGGGGAGTCTAGGAGTAGCATCAATTGTTGCCAAAATGAGAGAGTGTTGGTATGCGTGTTTCTATAAATGCAAAAGTTAACTACTGAGATACTTTTAATTATTTAAAACATTTGCAAGTTTTTAGATTAAAATTTTTTAATATTTTTCCAGTTCTGGTTGGGTTGACTTCTGGTGGGTTCCTATTGGAGCCATTAATATCTTGTACACTTATCATCCCAGTCCACCGTTAGGACCTCAACCTCAAGCTAATATTTCTACACCCGTCAAAGAAGAAATACTTTTATCACCAATACGATTTCCACATCAAAGGAAAAATCGAAAACGGTCTCCTGATGGAACCAAGCGATTCGACCCAACGACCTTAGAAGCAGACACTGTGAGTGTAGAATTAGAAATTGGACCTTCTGTATTGCTTGTATACGGAACAGCATTAAAGAATTTTATGAATTTTAAGGTATGTATTAGGAATATGAGAAAATGTTAGGTTATTTGATATACATAGTATATTTGTATTTTGTAGTTTATACTTTACAAATGTATATTTGTATTTTGTAATTTACACTTAACAAAAGACATCTCAGAAGCACAAAAAAAACTAAACAATCGAAAACCACCACCTGAAGACTATCTAGTAATGAATTACTCAGATATCAAGAAAATAATGTTATTAAGCAATTTCAAGGACTAATACGAGACAATGTTACACAAAAGAGAATTATTGTCGAATGAAGAAGAACAATATTGTTAATGTTCATTAAGAAAATAAATCAAAAAAGGGAAACTTACTGAAGTATTAATTTACTAAACACTAATCTGAAAATAACGAAGAATAAACAAAATATCGAAAAAACCCAAAAAAAAATAACATCAAGGATCTCTTCCGATCTTGTGCAGATGCGGTATTTAATGTAAGACAAATTCTAAAAAGCTTCTGAAGTTATACGTTAAATATTATGTTTATATGGGGTTAAGCCACAATTGATTGTAATGAATTCTAATGAAAATTACATTTTTAATAACGTTTGTCGTTTTGATTTCCAATTCGGAAATCGTTTTCAAAAAAGATATTTAAAAAAATTTTGCCAAAAGTATAACCAACAAGTTGTTAAGTTGGTTTTTAAGTTTTTCAAAAATGACTGTTGACTTACTGGGCCTCGATCTTGTAAACAATAGCCTTCTTTTTGGTTCACAAAGAAAGGTGGTGAACGTGAAGGTGGTGTTTTTACCCTCGGAATATCAAATTCCAACTGTTTTGTGTGTTTTATTTGTTTGTTTAATGTGTGTTTAACGTAGATTATGTGTTTGTGTATTGTGTGTTACATATGCATTGTCTGTTTTCTTCTTTAGGTACCGTCTCCTCTAAGGAGGTTGGTAATCATCACAGCTATTTTCACTTTTGAGATTGCAGCTCTGAACAAGTCGATGGAACTGCAATTATACCACTTTCTCAGATTGTTGTCTCTTCTTCCAATACTTCGTTTTCCCTGTATTTTTCCCTGCATTATGGTTTGTAGCAACACATATTTATCCGCTCTCATAACGTGGCCGAGATACTGTAATTTTCTTATCTTAATCGTATTCATGATTTCCATTTCCTTTGTCATCTTTCTGAGGATCTCAACATTTGTTATTCGGTCTACCCAATTTATTTTTAATATTCTTCGATAGGTCCACATCTCGAATGCTTCAAGTCGATCGCTCACCTCTTTCTTTAAGGTCCAGGCCTCCACCCCATACAGCAGCACCGAAAACACATATGAACGTAATATTCTTATTTTGAGTTGCAAACTAAGGTCTCTACTGCATAATACTTTTCTCATCTTATTAAATGTTGCTCTATCTTGTCCAATTCTCATTTTTATTTCTTCTGTATACTCGATATTTTCATTAATAATTGTACTAAGATATCTGTATTTTTTTACTTTTTCTATTAGAACCCCTCTTATGTTTAAAATGTCTTGTTGTCGTGTTTTGGAAATTGTCATAAATTTTGTTTTATTAGCATTAAGCGTTAGTCCGTTTTCCTCACTAGCATTTACTAAATTATCTAAGAGTGTCTGTAGATCTTGTATATTCTGTACAATTAGTATAGTATCATCGGCATATTTGATATTGTTGATGGGTCTGCCGTTGACTTTTATTCCAATTGTTACATTTTCGAGTGATTTTTTATTATTTCTTCCGAATATAGATTGAACAATAAGGGGGAGAGTATGCAACCTGGCCTTACGCCTCTTTTTATTTCTGCTTTGCATACATCTTTGCATGAGGACGTTAAATTCAAATAATGCCTCTTGTGTACCCATGGCATTCCTAAATCCAAATTGGGTTTCAGATTTTTAAGAATATTTTTAGTGTGTGACTCATTAGCCTAATTATACGGTGGTCATTACATTCCCTTGCATTAGGTTTTTTGGTAATGTAATAAATGTTGATTCGGAATAATATCCGTATTATATAATATAGTATTATATAAGTCTACTAATATATTGATCTGATCTTCTGATAATAATTTAATTATTTCAGTTGGAATTGTGTCAGGCCCCGCAGTTTTATTAGATTTTGCCAGATTTATTGCGTATTTCAACCTTAGTTATATTTGGACCTATATCATGTTCCTCGCAATCGTTCATGCTATCTTGTTGTGTCCTGTCGTCTAATAATAGTCATTATCAATGATTATTGTTTTGCTTAACTCTTCGTTAATTTTCAACGTTAGTTCTCCTTTTATGTTCGGGTGTTTTAGCAGAGTGCTTATTTGTTGTGTCTTTTGTTGATTTTTTATTTTCTTTAAGTGGATTTCGAATTTTACAATTGCTGGATTGTGGTGTGATGACACATCTGCTTCTGGATATGTCTTTGCCGATTTGATGGAGTTACGATATCTTTTATTGATAAGGATATAATCTATCTGGTTTCTGATAATTTTTTCTTTGCTATCCATAGGTGATTTCCATGTGGTGTTAACTGAAAGAATGTATTTGTCGCTATCATTTCAAACTCTTGAAAGAATTCCGTCAGTCTTTCCCGTCTTTCGTTCCTTATTCCTAGTCTTGTTACCAATAATGTCTTGGAATATTGTCAATTCACCAATAATTCTTGCAATTTACCTATTCCTAATTTGGCATTAAAATCCCCCATTGTTATTGTTATATCTCTATTATTGGTGCTGTCTAGTGCTTTTTTAATGTCGTTGTAGAACATTTATATTTTATTTTCATCTTTATCTACAGTGGGAGCATACACCTGTATGATATTAAGAGTTCTATGCGCTGTTTGGGCTGTGATCATTAACGCTCTATCTGATACAGGTTATCTATACTGATATAGGTATCTATACTGATATAAAACTGATATCAACCACTATCGGGATGCCATTATAGTGGTGAATATCTTCATTTCCTGAGTAGTATATTTTGGCACCGTCGACTTCGATTTCGCCAGATCTAGGCCATCTGGTCTTGCTTAGTCCCATTATATTGATTTTGAGTCTCCTCATCTCATGTGGATTACTTTGTGGATCATGTACTGCATTGTGTGTAATTGTAGATAATGTATGCGACTTCCTTTAATCCGCTGTTGTTGGTATGGTCGTGTTGATATGTTTTATGGTCGTTTATCCTGACACTCAGTGGTCTTGCGGTTTCTCCCACACAGAAATTGCTACATTCACAGGGTATTTTATAGATGCAGTTCTTTGACCTCTCGTGTGTTGTTGGGTTGGTTTTGGACAGGATAGTTCTCAGTGTGATGGTTTTTTAAATGTTGTTGTAATGTACTTTTTTCCTATCCTTTCAGATTTATCTGGTAAGCCCTTTACATAAGGGTATTGTTGTGGTTTAATTCCATATAAACATAATATTTAAGACAAATTCTCTTAAGAGAACTTTCTAGAATATAAGCCAGTATTTATGTATCTAATATGACTAATAAAAATGTTTAAACGACTACAAATAATATGACGCACTTATTATATGACTGAAGTATACCAGTAGATGTAATAAAAATGGAAGAAAATATATATAACGATAATAAAGTAATTGCTAGGATTGGTGGTGAAATGGTAGAACAATTTCATTCGAACACGGCATAAAACAAGGACTCACCGATATTTTTCTTTGTTCGATTTGATTATGGGCAAAATTATAAGAAAGTAAAAACAAATAAAGGATGCATAATAAAGATTTAAAGCAACAAATAACTATTTTATCAAAAGAAGTAAATACAAAAATATATAAAAGGCTGGTAGTTAGATAGATACAATCGCACACTGCTGATATCCGGCCGGACACGAACTTAAGATAATGAAAACGACAGTAATGCGAGTACGTAGTCCGCAGTTAACAACCAATACATTAAGGGAGAAAGCATGGAATGGAGATATACATAAAGGACTTTAAAATTGACTACGAATAGAAATAAATTCTGACAGCAAACTTAGTAGTAAAAATAGCGATAGGCAAATCGCTCATTGGAAGGAGATCAATGGGGACGCCAAGGAAATGATAGTCAGAAAATCCATAAAACAGAGTAATAATCCGAATGTTTTTTATAAATTCTTACAAGATTTCAATTTTTAATATCTAATAATTTATTGCAGTATTGAATAAGTAATGGAAATAAAAATATCTGGGAATTACATTGTCCGGCTGCGGAGACCTGGACAAAGAAGTGAAAATACTTAAATTATACTTATATTTAATTCTTAACAGCAGTTTTCCTTATAACTTAGTAAAATTAGCGTATATGGCGAAACTTCTTTACAGTGTATATGGCGAAACCGACATGTTAAAACTAAGATTAAGTAAATGTAAGACCAATAATAACGTATGCCTCAGAAACAAGACCCAACTCAGCCACAATGCAAAGACTACTGGAAACAGCAGAGATGAGAGTAGTGAGAAGAATTACAGGAAATACGCTGAGAGATCGAAAGAGGAGTGAAGATAAAAGAAAATGTAACATTCAGTGTATAAACGAATGGACACTAAACAGAAAAAAGAATGGAATAACCACATAAACAGAATGGAGAAGACCCATGTCGTCAAAATAGCAAGAGATAAGTCACCAATCGGCAGAAGTATCAGAAGACCGCGCAAAAGATGGAGTGACAATCTTCCCTAGGGGTATCAATCCGCCAATGAACAAGCAGAATTGCTTGTAAAGAAGAAGAAGAAAAAGAACAATTTAATATTCATTTTTACATTTAATAAATTTATTTGCTTTTTATGTGTACGATTTTTATATCCTTTTATTTATTTTTTTAATTTCTAATAATTTAATTAATACTGTTGCATTTTTTAAGGAAAACATTTTTGGAGAATTCCAAAGCTTTACGGACATGCAAAAAGTAGTAAATCTAGATAGTGGCTCGGATATAAAATCTGAAGACACCAATACAAACATTCCATTAGAACTTAGAGATGACTTTGATCACCGATATTATCGACCTTTGGCCGTAGATGTATCAATTATAATGCACGATATTCAAGCTCATCTTCTTAAAGTAAGTTTAAATGTCGTGCTACCGCATTCTGTATTCATCATCTTATATTTTAGAGTTGCACTGAAAAAGATCCACCATGTCCAGTTATTCTATGTGAGAGATTCGGATTTGAAATGAAGAAGCGTTTTGATCAGACTGAATTGCAACTATTATTAAGTCCAGCAGTGTTGTTAGTATCTGATAATGTTAATAGATCTGCTAAGGAGAAACATTTAAATCAAGGAAAACTAACACTATCATCCTTGCAGGTTTGTTTTTAATATTGTACGTTAAGCTTAATTCACCTTTATGTTATCACAATCTATAACATAAAAATAGAATATAGCATGCAAGTAGTCTCTCTTTTTAAATTAATAATAAACCGATATAACGAGGTGTTGAAGGATATAACAGAATTACTGAAACTAACAAAAGCCTTTGTCGAATATCTAACCTGAAACGATTTAATGAAATACACTATAAAAACAGTAATATAGTAATATTTTTATTTATTATAATCTAATTTATCTATTCATTAATAACAATGACTGGCAGAGTAGATTAAATACAACTGGTGATACCTCCTTCTGGCTAACCTCACTGCTGACAATGAGGTGATAAGTTCTTACACCTGATGTCAATTGTCTTCAGATATGATCGAAATATTATGGATTAACTTTCCACTCTTTTCGGTCTTCTATTGTTTTTGCCTATTTTAAAATTGGGAAACTGATAATTACAACGATGTGGCAAATGTTCCGACTTCCGTCCTAACATGTCAATATTGTCATTTTAATCAGTTGCTATCAACCGGCCCTCGTAGACACTTTGTCTCAGGACCAAGCAACCTCATGTAGAATCTTACTTTGATATGTTATCAATTCTACTGGTAACTTTAACATCTTAACATAGAAGATCAAATAATGTAACAGAAATTTAAACTAATATCATGTAACGGGTTTTTACCCAAATATTTTGGTGGCTCAAAACATGTACACCTAGTAAGTATTAACCACATTTTGTATTAACCTTAGTCAACATTTCCAATTTCATGTTTTTTTTTTTAATTAAAGTAGTTATATACTTTCAGGTTACACTGATGATGGAATATAGATTCCGAAGTAATTGTGATATAGCCCGATTGGGTGTTTTAATTATATACCTTTTATAAAGGATTTTAATTTTTGATGTGGCAAATGTATTTCATGGGGTAAATCATGTTCATTACTGCCAATATTAAACAGTTTTCTTCTTAGTCGTTAAAATAAGATGTGATCTTTATTCCACTCTTCTCGGTCTTCTATCATTCTTGCAAAATCCGAAATTGAAGATTAGCAAAGGCCAGAAAACTACGGAGCCGAATAATATATCGAGCTAAATAAAGCTCTTCGAAAGTTCAGGTAAAAGATCTCTCCTTCATATTTTTAATACAATTTATGAAACTGGCCAAATACCAACACATTGTCTGTTGTCAACTTTTCTGACGATACCTTAAAAAGCAAATGCGAAAAGATGACTGACTACCGAACCATCAGCTTGATGAGCCATGTTTTATATTTGTTCGAATTTTGCACTCGAGGATGTACCAAAAAATAAACGAACAACTTAGTGGCACGCATTTTGGGTTCCGCAATAACCTTAGGGCCAGAGAAGCACTATTTAGTATTCTGGTTATGATACAAGGATGTAGAGATGTCGGCCATTGAGTTATAGTTGTTTTAATGGCTCATTAAGAAGGCCTTTGATCGAGTAAAACATACTGAAATAATAGCCATTTTTGGCAGATAGGTATTGATGTTAAAGACCTACGTATCATTAAAAATCTTTCCTAGCCTCAACGTGCAAACATCCAGATTTGCCCGGATAATCCTGAAGATCGTCAAATATGAAGAGGAGTAAGACAGGGCTGCATTTTGTCCCCACTAATATTTAACATATATTCGGAGTTCGTTTTCTATAAAGCATTGGATAGTGTTCAATGTGGTATCAAAATGAATGACATCAATAATGATAATTTGAGATACGCGGATGACACGGTGTTAATTGCAAAAGTTACGAAGAACTTTAACATCTGGTTAATAGGATTACCACAACGTGTGAGAATGGACTGAAGTAAACACCACAAAGACAAAGGCGATGGTTGTCAGTAAAACGTCAATACAACTAAAAGTGGTAACAGCTTATGGAGAAAAACTGGAGAGAACCAACAGAATAACAGAGAGAACAGTCATCCCTTTTCCGAGCTGTCGTCAACAAAATTAGTATCAGTATTCCATATAAATATTAGTTAATGCGTAAGAAAAAAAGTGTTTTATCAATTTTTCTGTATTAGTCTTATTCTATTCATTTTTCAAAATTAAGTGAAAATGTTAATGTATTCGAGGCAGATATTTTTACAATCTTACATTGTGTAAGACAAATCAACATGAAGGCTTTTGCACTTAAGCGAATCAATATATGTACAGATAATCAAGCTACTAGGATCCCTAAGATAGTCTCTTGGATAATGTGAAAATGCCCAAAAGAACTGATAGCCTGACGGAGCATAACAGTCTTACGGGTACACTGCTGTGGGTACCAGGTCATCAGTAATACACGACAACGTAGGACCCAGCTCAGTACAGTATTATAAAAAAAAAATAGAAATTGATGACATCAGTATTGAACAAGTAATGGAAATAAAATACCTTTCAATTACACTATCTAGCTGTGGAGATCTGGACAAAGAAGTGGGAGATCAAGTAAAAAAAGCAAATATACTGACAGGATGCCTTAATAACTCTATATGGCGAAAGAGACACGTTAACACTGAGATGAAATCAAGAATTTATAAAGCCAGTGTAAAATCAATAATGACATATGCCTCAGAAACAAGACCCGACACAGCCACAACGCAAAGGCTACTGGAAACGGCAGAAGTGAAGACATTAGAAGAAAATGTAACGTATATATATATATATATATATATATATATATATAATATAAAATTAATGTTTCTTGATTATGTTTCTTCAATAATGACATATGCCTCAGAAACAAGACCCGACACAGCCACAACGCAAAGGCTACTGGAAACGGCAGAAGTGAAGACATTAGAAAAAATGTAACGTATATATATATATATATATATATATATATATATATATATATATATATATATATATAATATAAAATTAATGTTTCTTGGGTTTAGGTTCAATAAAGATATGTTACATGTGGAACTAGATTTTATTTTCCATTGCAATCAATCAAATACGGTTCAAGAAACTCAAAAACAATATATATATATATATATATATATATATATATTATATATATATATATATATATATATATATATATATAGCCGGTATTTAGGCGGCACACGCCCTTCCGGTAGAGATCTATGAAGGAGTATCACTGAGCCGCAAGCCCTTATCTCTTGCCGTACTTCACCATAGGCCGATCAGATACCAGCATATTCTAGACTAAGCCGCAGATTCATTTAGAATTTTAAACTGCTGCGTTAGCCTTTTTGTTTTCTGTACACCGAGCTGGGGATTTGAACTGACATCTCTCGCATTGAAGTGAAGGAGAAGCCAGCCACCCAACTCGCTTGGCTATCCGACCGACGTACGTAAATGTAACGTACAGTGTGTAAATGAATGGACACAAAATAGAAAAAAGAATGGAATAACTTATGTAAGCAGAATGGAGGAGAACCGTGTCGTCAAAATAGCAAAATAGAGATAAGTCATCAATCGGCAAAACCGCGCAAAAGATGGAATGGAATGACAACCAAGAAGACGAAGAAGAAGATTATAAAAAAATAATTTCGGCAATTATTCCATCATATCCATTATTTCCATATTTGGTCTCCTCATTATCTAACTTCTCTAGTTGAGCTTGAAAATAACTAATTATTATTAAGGGATATTAATGTGTTGACTATCCTGTTTAATAATACCATAGACAGCTTTATCTGTAAGATAAATTTATATTCTTATTTGGATGTTGCTTTCTTAATAACACGACACTTGTGATTATAGATTCGTGGCCATGCAATGTTTTCTGACGTTGGCCAATCTTTAGACCAGGATACCGTAGAATATGCTTGGCTGGTAGAAATCCAACTTGGAAAACTCAGTGGAAAAATAACAACTCCTCAACTATATTCCATTCTTGCCTGCTTAGAAACACTTATTCTTCTCATAACAGATGATGAAAATGAACTAAATAGTCCCAAAGATGATGTTATCTTAAGTCAACCAGTGGTCAAGAAGAAGAGTACGCATTCTGTACAGAACGTTCACGTTCAACACGTACAGCAGGCAATTCAACAGTTATTGCAACCCAAAAACAGCGCCAATGTTAGTAATAAAATTGCTCAAACATCCAATGTTGCTAATAAAAGTGGAACACCTTCAGCCAATGTTTCCAGTAAGTATATAATTTTTATTCTTATTTATAAATTGATAGAGCAAAAATATGGTGTCCTATCTTCTATTCAATAGTTAAATTCATTATAAGAATTATCCTTTTTATAAACCATATTGGTTATAGCAGTATTATCATTAAGCAGCTATAAATTCTCACTAATAAAGAAGCAATTTGAATTAGACTTACAAAGTCTTGAGACAAGCTTGAAAATATTGCCAGATTGGCCTTGCATACAGGAAAGGAAGACAATATTGTATAATAGGTTTTTTACAAAGTTGGATTCTATCTACTCAGAATCGAGATTATTTTTTAACTTTTTTTAACAAATATCTCAACCTCTTAAACTTATTATATTGGACGTTATAATCTTTGGTTAAGTTCTAAAAGTATCAAAATTGCGTATTGAAATTACAGTAATTTATTTTCTTAGATCAAAAACCATCTACCCAAAAGGATAAAAAGAAAGAAGACGAAAAGAAAGGTTCTGTAAGAAGCAGCGTGATTACCAATGCAGAACCGGTACCAACGGAACCATTGAGTGAACATAAATTAAAGTACAAGTTGTGTAGGGTAGCTGTAGATGCAGTAGACTTTTGGCTTGTTGAATCTGGAGCAGCTCTTCAATTATGGGTAAGCTAAAAATTACTATATACTTGGTTTGGCTAGTCTTAAACAGTAAACAGTATCAATCACCGTCCTTCATTATATTGCTGTCTTTAATAGTAGAGATTGAAGATTCTTCTTCTTCAAGTGCGGTCTTCGTTCCGAAGTTTGGCTATCATCAAAGCTATGCATATTTTTGATGCTGCAGATCTAAACAGTTGGTAATTGGTGCAATTGTACCATTCTCTCAAGTTTTTCAACAATGAATGCCTTCTTCTTCCTATAAATCTCTTTCCCATTATCTTTCCCTGTATAATCAATTGCAGCAACTGGTATTTATCTCCCCTCATAACATGTCCCAAATATTGTAGTTTGCGCTTTTTAACAGTAAGTATCAGCTCTTTCTCTTTCCGCACTCTCCGCAAAACCTCCACATTTGTTACTTTCTCTGTCCAGGGTATTCTTAATATTCTACGATACATCCACAACTCAAATGCTTCTATCTTTTTGGTATCGATCTTTTTCAATGTCCATGTTTCCATCTCGTAGAGGAAAACTGACATAACGTAACATCTCAAAAGGCGAATTTTAAGTTTTAGACTTAGATCTCTTCCGCAGAACACCTTTTTCAATTTAGTAAATGTGGCTCTAGCTTTCTCTATTCTGGTTCTGATTTCTTCAGAGCAATCATTATTTTCGTTGATAACAGTTCCCAGGTAATTATATCTTCTTACACGTTCGATTCTTTGATCATGCACGGTTATGTCAGGGAAGTTTTGTGGTGATTTAGATATTAGCATTATTTTTGTTTTGCTTATGTTAAGTGATAATCCGTGTTCTTCACTGCATTCTACTATTTTGTTAATTAGTATTTGAAGATCTTCCCAAGTTTCTGCGATTAGTACCGTGTCATCGGCATATCTCAAGTTGTTTATTCGGATGCCATTTATCTTAATACCTATATTTTGATCCGAAAGTGCTGTGTTTATAATGTCTTCGGAGTATAGATTGAATAAGGTCGGTGAGAGTATACAACCCTGTCTTACGCCTTTCTTGATCTCGATTTCCTCCGTTGTCTCTTGCTCTATTCGGATATTTGCTTTCTGGTTATAGTAAATCTTAGAGATAATTCTAATGTCCCTTTTATCCAAGTTTTTTTCTACTAGCAGTTTCATTAAGTGATCGTGACGAACTTTATCAAACGCTTTGTTGTAATCAATAAAGCACATATATATATATATATATATAATATATATATATATATATATATATATATATATATATCTTGGTTTATATCTAGACATCTTTGGCATATGACGTTAAGTGCAAATAGTGCTTCTCTTGTTCCAAGCCCGTTCCGAAATCCGAATTGAGTATTACTAATATCTGCATCTAGTTTTCTGTTAATTCTTGAGTGGATTACTTTGATGAATACTTTTAATGTATGCCCCATTAAGCTTATAGTGCGGTAGTCAGTGCACTGTTTTGCATTTGCCTTTTTTGGTAAGGTTACAAAAGTTGAAAGTAGCCATTCCTTTGGTATTTCTCCTCTTTTGTAGATGAGTTAAAAAGGTCGAGTAGAATATTCACTGATTCGCCTTCCACAAGCTTAAGAAGTTCTGATGTGAGCCCGTCTGGACCCGGTGATTTACCATTTTTCATTATTTTTATAGCGTATAATAGTTCTTCTTTAGTTATTTCTGGTCCTTCGTCGCCTTGCAAGTTATCTATATTAGGTTCTTGTCTTTCATCGAACAATTCTTCTACATAGTTCTTCCAGGTCCTAAGCTTTTCTTGTAGATCGGCTATTATTTCACCATTTGCGTTGCATAGGAGATTGGGATGTTTTCGTTTTTGTGTACCTGTCAGTTCCTTTATCTTTTTATGTAAGTTAAAAGTGTCATGTTTGAGATGTAGTTCTTCGATTTCCTCGCATTTTCTTGTATAAAAATTTTCCTTTGCAGTTCTTATTTCTTTTCTAATTTGTTTGTTTACTTCATTATATTTTTGGCATTTTTTGCATTTTCCCTTTAACTGTCTTCGCTCTTCCATGAGACCTAAAATTTTTTCTGTTATCCATTCTCGTCCTTTTTTCTGTTTCTCTTTGGTAAGCATTTTCTGGGCAGGTTTTATTATGGCGTCTTTTAAATCTTGCCACTTGTCTTCTACATGCGTGTTCCCTGTCTTTGTAGAAAGCATTCGTAAGTTATCATTGATATGTTGTTTTAAATCTTCTTTAATTGTTGGATCTTGTAAGCGGCTGGTATCTATGTGATCTATTTTTGTTTTATTTGAAGGTCTTTTGAGTCTAATGTGTACCCGCGCTATCAGGGGGTTATGATCTGAAGAAACATCTGCGCCTGGATAGGCCTTAACTGATCTTATACAGTTTCTGTATCGCTCATTTATTAAAATATAATCTATCTGATTCCTAATTGTTTTTTCCCTAGTGTGTTGAGGGGACGTCCATGTGTACAGTCTTCGTTTGGCTAGCTTAAAGAATGTATTTGAAATTATCATATCATTCTCTTGATAGAACTCTAAAAGTTTGTCTCCTCTGTCGTTTCTTGCCCCTAAACCATATTCTCCCACATTTTTTCCGCTTTTTCCTTTGCCAATTTTGGAGTTGAAGTCTCCAAGGATAAGTGTAACATCTTTTGGCTTTGTAGACTTTAGAACTTGATTTATTTGTTCATAAAACTGCTCAATCTCTTCATCTGATTTATCTGCAGTAGGGTCATATACCTGTATAATATTAAGTTTTGCAGTTTTTGTATGCAGTTGTAGGAGCAGGATCCTGTCTGACACTGGCGAAAAATTAGTGACAGACTGTGTCATTCTTCTTGAAACGACAATTGCTACACCGTATCTGTGATGTGGGTATTCATTTCCTGAGAAATAGATCATACCGTTTCTTGTCGAGACGTTGCCTGCACCCGACCATCTTATATCGCTGATGCCTAGGATATCGACGTTTAATCTTTTCATCTCTTGTATAACGTTGTGAATTTTCCCAGGCTCGTACATGCTTCTGACGTTCCATGTACCAATATTTATTGTATTTTTAACACAGGGATTTCGCAGAATTACGACCTGAGAGGCCCTGTTGTCATGTTGTCATGAAGTGACCCTCTCCTGCCGGATCTTGGTATCCGGTATCCATGATCAGTACTAGAAATCATTTCGCTTCGCACAGCCATGATAATTTTACTAGAGATATCCCTTAGAATCTTTAATGCAGTGGTTTCTCCTTGCCTTCTGCATCCTTATGCCGTTGACCATTTCTTAGTTCCTCCGCCTTTGAGATCGATTTCTCAGTCTCAGGACAAAAGAGTGCCCTTCCATTTACCAGTTCATCCGCCCGGAGCCGTTGGCCAGTAATTGATGGACTGCTTATACCGGCAATCATTCGGTGACTTGATTCTATATCAACCCTAAAATCGAGGGTTGCTACTTCCGCCATCCGCACCGTACCGAAGCTCCGCTTCTCCGCCGTGGCCGCCGTTGTGGACTTCATCCGTAACCCTGGACAAGGGACCCTAAACAGGTACTAGTTTCCCGGGTCAGGAAACCCCCGGAATCTGCGGAGGGCAGGGATTGATTCATTTTCCCTGATAGGACTATCTTCAAGAATTTAAAGAGTTCCTACCCGCTACCCGCGGGTAGATTGAAGATTAAAGGAAACAAAATAAAGCCTTACTTCACTCCACGCCTGATTTTTATGTATTCGATTTACATAATCTTGGCGTATGAGTATGGCGATCTCGAAAGCCATATGAGTCACGGAGAAACAAGAAAGTTCTATCATCAAATAAATATTATTAGAAAAGAATTCAAACCAAGAATCAACTATTGTAATGATAAGGAAGGTAACTTAATTACCAACAAAGAGGATATCCTTTTACGATCGGTAGAGCACTTTCGAGAGTTGCTGGAAGGGGAACCTACTAACAATATAGAGCTGGAATACCGAAATGAGGAACTCGTGGAACCCCCTCGGTAGATGAAGTGAAAATATCTATAGAAAAACTAAGGAACCACAAATCCCCAGGCAGCGATGGCATCCAAACAGAGTTATTTAAGCACGGTGAAGAGCGGCTCACCAAGGTGATGCAAGAAATTGTTTGTAAAATTTGGTCTGAGGAGCAAATGCCTGAAGAATGGAGCTTAGGCTTAATTTGCCCGTTACACAAAAAGGGAAACCAACTGGAATGTGATAATTACCGCGGAATAACTCCTAAATACAGCATACAAGATATTGTCAAACATTTTGCACGAGAGATTAAAGCCTTATACCGAAATGTTTCTAGGAGAATATCAGGCAGGATTCAGGCGTGGACGTTCAACCATTAACCAGATCTTTACACTACGACAGATTCTCGAAAAAGCGCAAGAGTTTAACATAGATATGTATCATATTTTTGTCGATTTTAAAGTGGCATATGACAGTGTCGGTTAACCCCCATAATAACACATCTGACGAAATAAAAAGTCGAATAATAATTGTAAAAAGGTGTTATCATGGTCTATCAAAGTACTTAGCTAACAAACGTCTGTCTCAAAAAACTCCTATAAGGCTGTATAGAACACTGATAGTCCCCGATCTCACATATGGATCAGAGGCATAACTAAAACAGATGAATCCGCTCTATCGATTTTTGAAAGAAAGGTGCTACGCAATATATTCGGAGCAGTCTGTGAGAACGGAATATGGTGGCGTAGATATAACTTTGAACTGCAGAATACGTTTGGTGGTAAAGATATTACTCTATAACTCTGTTTGGATGCCATCGCTGCCTGGGGATTTGTGGTTCCTTAGTTTTTCTATAGATATTTTCACTTCATCTACCGAATGGGAATGAGCAGACGGGGTAGACCAAAGCTGAGGTGGATGGATGGGATAGCACAAGATGCGGAGAAGATCGGAGTCGGCAACTGGAAACTGCAAGCAAGGGACAGAACAGAATGGCGTAGAAAGATTGAGAAGATCGAGGCTCTCTAAGGGCTGTAGAACCAAGATGATGATGATGATCATCTAGGCGTGCTGTACTCTATCAAACGCTTTCTAGGAATCAACCAGATATGCGTATAAATCGCAATTGATGTGCCTGCGTCTTTGAAATATGACCTGTACTGAGAACATAGCCCCCTCGTACCGCGTTTATGAAACTGAATTGTTTAGGGGAAATTTTACTGTCACACAGCTAGTAAATTCTATTATGGATTATCTCGTACAGACACATACAGATTACACATAACATTACGAAGTTAAACGTTAAAGGGGAATATTATCTAGTGAGAAATATGGAAAGTTGAGTATATTCAACCAGATTAGAGATTGAACACCATTAAATAACATGAAGGGGGCTAGTCCAGCCACAAGCTAGATGTATATACACACATTATTATCATCAAACAATATGCTGGATACCGATATCTATTTTTCTGGGTATCCAATACTATTATTTTAATTTTTATGCTTAAAATAATCTAGGGCTAGTCCAGCCATAAGCTAGATGTATATAGAGACATTATTATCATCAAACAATATGCTGGATACGGATATCTGTTATTTCTGGGTATCTAACACTATTATTTTAATTTTAATGCTTAAAATAATCTAAAATATATTTTTTGTTCTTTAGATGTCTCCTGTCCGATTGGCTAGTTGTAATTTGCACGGAAAACAAGTTAGCTCCGGATTAAGTTGCATTATTTACAGCATGTCGTTAAGACAACTCGCGTGGCATCCACACAAATACAACCATTCCAAGTAAGTACTTTGCTTACTTCATTATTACAAGTATTTATTTGGTGATTCAATTTTTAATCTAACTACCATTTTAGAGTTAATTATGATACCAACGACTTATGGCTTGAGGTGGGTGCAGTAAATCTAGGACCTTTAATAATTGAGTCTGCCATATCTCCAGACATTAAAGATCCAAATTTATATAACGACCAACAAAAATTTCTCAGGATGCACGATGACAGATTGAAAAAGCTTTGGTTCTTATGGCCGAACCTTAATAAAACTACAGGAAAATGTGGTTGTACTGGAGGATGTCTCTTTTTTGGAAGTAACATAAACGGAACGCGATTTTTCAAACCCAGTAAAAAAGATTTAGAAGAAGGGATGAATGTAGCTGCTTTTCGGTAATATTTTTATTTATCTTTTTAATGTATGTTGCTTTTTTAACAATTAGTAAATTTGAAGTATTATAAAAATTTTTAATTGTTTTTGACTTCTTATTCAGTTAATTTGAACTCGACGAATGTTATGTCAAAATAATTTTCTTATTCTAATTTTATCTATATGCTTGTGTGCTTATTAAAATTTGATTGAATTAGTATCTTTATCCTTAGAACTTAATATATATTTTTAAATGCTTTGGACTGTTTGATCCATTTGGAATATTAAATATCGAAATCGTTAAAAAACATTACCAGTACTTATACTCATTCTGAACTCTTAACTTAAGGGTTTTACAAATAAGAAATTAGACAGGTACACATGATACTACAGTGCCTTTCATTCGACATTAAATTTTACTCTTAGTTTTTTTTTTAATATTCCCATACAATTTGGAATTTTTTCGAAAAAGATACAAAAGGTAATATGTTATAATCAAATACTTACTTAATTGCATTGTATTGTATATACAACCAAACATTCGATGGTTGATGTCATAAAGGCGTTTAAATAATACACATTTTAATTTTTCTGTTAGGTACATAACTCACATCGATATCATTGTTTTTATCTTCATCGGTGTGTCATATGTTCACTTAATTTATATGTCTTGAATTATATTGATCTAAATTATCGTTACAATGTAATTTCAAATATTTTCCATACATTTTTTATTCATCTATTTCCTTATTAGGGATATAACATGGGATGGTTATATAACAGCCATTATTATCCATTTATATTTTATTTTCTTTTGGTCTTTTATCTTTCTAGTATACTCTGATGTAACGTTGAACTTCAATTGTTGCTTTACGTTTATCCAAGGTTTTATCTTAATACTATATATTTTCTTTTAGTTGGTCTAACCGTTTACCTAATGTCTAACATGTATTAGATTGGTAGATAATGTTCCGGTTTTTGGAAGATAATTCTCCTTAATTGTCTGACTTAATGATGGCGATGTCAAATTTTTTACTGGTATTGTCATATCTAAAAACTAGTTCAGCCCTCGTATTCTGCTTCTTGACTTAACTTGTATTTATTGTGTTTAAAACTTGTCATTTTATTGAGTTTTTAACATTTAGTAGCCCTTTAGCAAAAACAAAAAATTAATTGTTAAAAATTTACAGCTTATAAAATATTTATCCAATATAAAATAACTTTTTATTATTACTTTTAGTGTGAATCCTCCTGGCAAAGATCTTGGATATGGACAAAGTATTCTTCATGAAGGTATGCTTATATTTCGAACACCTCCATATATAATATCGGAAATCACTCTTCAAGATACCCATATGGGTCTCAGACAGTCTAGGAGATATTGTGAGAGTCCAAAAGTTGTTCATTTGGAGAAAGAAAGATCGATCGATAAAGAAACTGTGACTTCCGATAAAAAAGTGAATAGAAGATTTTCATCTACTTCTATTAAGTATGTTATTTTACTTAGATAAATTATATAAAATACTGCAAAAATTATCAACAATTGTCAATTTTTTGTTGGAATCATCTGTAAAGTTATTTTTAAGAATCCGTAATAATTGATCTTTATTCAGTTCAAGCTTTAATTATTTTTAATAATACCTGTTAAAAATTTGTGTACGCTATACTTCGGATACTTCGCCGTATAAGCCTTATTAATTAATGGCTTGCAAGTAATGTATAGTTGAAGATTAGCGTCAACGATTGTTCGCCTACATCTGTCTCCCAGTTACTTCAAATCTTCTCTTACTATATCTAAACGATTTAGTAAAGTGAGTCTTAAATATTTGTATTTTGCCTCTTGGGATCCTGGGTACAGATTTTTTACTGACTCCTCTTGTAGCGTTCTCACCAAGGGAAGTGTTTATCTTACTTTGGTACTTTTCATCTCAGCTATCAGGCTAAGCTTTTCATACCTCAAGACCCTTGTATTATTTTTTACACTACACATTCCTTTGTCATAAACGTCTTCGTATAACTTCCTAAAAAGTTGTATCGTCGACTTATTGATCTTCACACCTCTTTATGGATCTAGGTTTCTATTCCATGGATTCCATATAAACGTAATCAAATGATATCATTGGATACTTCGTGGTTGCTAAGTTATCTATAAACATCGAAAGAGTAGAACAGGTTTCGCAGTGTAAATACCTAGGTTCTACGGTAGTAACAAACGGAAATGTGAGAATGAGGTTAAAGTTTGGCGTTTGGCAAAACATGGCTTTGGACTCTGGATTGCGGGTTATTAAATGTTATTTCTCCCCCGTATTGTTTTATGGCTCATTAAACTGGCAACTAAATAATGAGAATGCAAAACTGCAATAAAGCATTTGTGATTTGGACTCCTGGTAGGTTACTAAAAATTAGACTTAAACTTGGAAAAGGCGTAAACAAAAATTTGGAAAAGGCATAAACTAGTTTTAAAAGGGGCGTGGCCGGTCTTGTTTGCGTTCAAAGTAGCTGCTAACAATGCCCGACTCTTGTTTCTTTAATGTGAGTCGTGTACAAAAGAAAAAATTTCTTTTGGTACATATATGTACAATAATTCTTTAAATAAAACATTAACTATATAAAACATAAACATTAATTAATTTATCATTAAAATATCGGGAATAGCTATATTCACATTAATCACCTGTCAAATTTACGTCTGCCATTGTAGCTAGTAATGTGAGTTCAGTTCCGTCGTTGATCAGCTACATGTAAAAATATCAACATGTTCCATCCTTAGTACATTACATTGTTGGATCTGTAACACCTGATAAACTCAATCAATCTATCTATCTATCTATACAGCTCTTGCTGTCCAATTTTGGACATGGGCCTCCTCTTCCTTCTTTCTATTGTAGGCAGTTTTGTATCTACTTCGGGCTTGCGTGTTTCTTCAAGTCATCTGACCATCTCATTTGTTGCCTTCATCTTTTTCGTTTGTAACTATATGGTCTCCAGTGTGTAATTATCTTATTCCATCTGTCGTCTTTCTGTCTTATGATATGTCAAGCGAAATTCCACTTAAGTTTTGCTATCTGCGTTGATACATCGGTCACTTATAACCTTTAAATCGTGCGGTATTTGATAATTGAAGACTTTATTTGGATCAGTGATGGAATCAATTGACCTAAGTGAGTGTATGTGTCCGTTAAATTGACTCTCAATTTTTATATTCAAATCATCTGCTTCCTTCCTTCTCTCATTCTTCTTTTGACGTTGTCAATTGACAAAAAATTATTAAAAATGTAATGAGGCCAGTAGAGGCCATTTCCTATTGAAAATGTCTAATAATACCTTCGAGAAAACTTCTGCCGATATATCATTTTGTAACGCAACTTGCATGTTCGTTTTTAACTTGAGATTTTTCACATATTTCGATTAATTTGATGTCTTCAAGATAGCATTTATTTCATCAGAAGCTCTAGGAATGACTGGCAGCGTTTGGCGAAAGGAGCTCCGGAAAGGATCTGATTTGCTGCGCATATCTCTTAATGTTCGATTCATCCCAACTTATTATTTACCAGCAATTTCGCTATGGCTAATATTTGGGTTATATTACATGTCGGTTCTTCTATAGTATGAAAATTCAATGACAGTTTGAGCACAGATTAGCGGTATATCCGCTTTCTAACAATGTAGCAGCGCGGATGCATCGATGAAAAATATTCCTCCATTGCCACTGTCATTTACTGCTTTTATCATTGTATCGTAAGCTGTTTTTTTTTCTGCTGATTTATAAGTGGCACATTACTTTGTAGGGAATTGACACAATGCATTTCTATCGTTAAAATTCAGTTTTTGCTTTTCTAATACAAAAAAAAGGTAATTGAATATGAATGAATGCCAATTTATCAATACCAACATTTATTTTGTTAATTGTTAATCATAGTAATGGCGCCATCTATTAGTTATATTGCGATTTAAAATTACGGAACATGTATGCGCATACATACATTTCTGTGATTCATTTTTATGTATATCGAATATATTACAAATAATAAATATTATAAGTTGTCATTATAATATATTTTTTTTAACAATATTTAAAACATTTTCTTTACAAATAACTGTTTTAGGAGTGCCCTCTTAAAAGAAGTACCTTATTCGAGACTGATTGAAACTAGTCCTGCAAATCTACCCACTAAACTGGATAGTGATTCAAAGCTACAATGTGATAAGAGTAAACTGACTGTGGGCGATATTTCGGAGCCACTTCCTAAAAACAGTGTATCCGATTCAAAATTGGCTGTAGATTATTTCAGTGCCACCTCAGTAGACATCAAGGAACCATATTCTCTTACTCAAAGCGTAAGTAGTCAGATAAATAATTATTATGTAGGGGAAATTGTGCCAACTTTTTGAATTTCTAACTACCTGTCACCTACTACCGTGATGTCAATGTCATCAGCGAAAGTGACTACTGTATCATTCTCTAATGCAAAACAAACTCAAATTAAATATAATTCAAGCAATGTCTCGTTTCCACAATTTGCCTCTATACTTTTCTAAAAGGATTTACTTTAATTAGTTCCCTATCCAACAAACTCCTTCCCGGGCTCTGCTTGTAAAAAACAAAACTGTCGACAAACTCGTAACAATATTTATTGCTCCTATTGGAGCGCCAAAATTCTCCTTAGCTATGCTTCGCTCCAAGAATAGTAAGTTATTTTACTTACAAATACTGCAACAACAGCTTTCAACACTGTCTTTGCACAAGTTTTCGCTACAATAATTTTTCTTTCACCGGTTTAAAAAAAAAACAAACTATCGACATACTCCTTCCGATTTTGTCTTCAATCTCTTCAAGTCTAACAGCAGATGATCCTCCTTGCTTTTTCAATCTCATTCCCGTCTGTCTATCCCGATCTATCTATCTAGATTGTGCTTTACCGGTGACCTGATGATGGCCAGAAAACTGTAGTGGTCGAAACCGGTCGTCGCTTACTAAATAAATAGATTGTGAGTAAGTTTATCATTTATTTCTACTACCCATATTGATATTTGTTACATCCTTTTTCGATATAAAAGTAATAATAAATAACGCTGCATAAGATAGGTTTCTGATATGTTCACAATAACATTTCCATCCATTTTTAAATATAAACAAGTATATTGCATGTTTATTAGTATATTAAATCAAAACCTTTTCTTTAATTTCAAGTTTTCTTAAATTTACAGGGTCCTCCAAGTACTGAAGTGTCCGCGCCATCATATTTAGTCAATAAAACATTTGCCGGTTCGGAATCTCATCACTCTCTAAGCCAGATGAGTTCAGAGGAGAGAATACAGAAAGAAGTTCAAAGAACTACATCGATGTCCAGTGAAAATCATTCTGAAGCATTCTTTTCAGCTGACGAAGATATAAATTTAAATTCTAGAAGTTCGAGTCTGCGAAATTCAATTTTAAGTGCTGGAGATACACTAACCAGGTAATTTTTTTTAGTATTGTAGCGTTTTTAAATAAAACGAGCGGTTAGAATTTACATAAATTTATTTATTTATAACTTTACAGTTCGGTACTATCTTATCAACTGAACTACCTCAATCATCGATACTTTATATATATATATATATATATATATATAGTATATATATATATATATATATATATATATGATATATATATATATATATATATATATATATATATATATATATATATATATATATATATATAGGTATACATATAAGGTACATATAGGTATACAAATTATTATGTTCGAGAATATTCGGGAGTAGTCCACCTCTATTTCGTGTCATCGAAAGCGCATCAAAGACGTACGCTATTGAAATGTCAACTCTTCGAGCTTTCTTGATTTATCGTTCTAAGAATTGTGACACATCGGAGATGGGCTATTTCGTTCCATTATATTGTCCAATTTGCCATAAAAATAGTTGTTCTTAATCTGTGTTCATATGGAATTTTAGTACATACTTTTGTAGAATTTTGTATTTTTTTTTTGTAATTTTGTAGAATAGAATTTTTCGGAAATTATCTTCTTGTGGCATTTTAATATTATTTATTTTCTTTATTGAGAATGAACCACAATTTCAGTTTAAAATAAGTTTATTTTGACGTTTCAATTTCCACTTCGAAAATGGAAAGATACTAAATAGTATAGCATGTTAATTAACTACAATTTTTAAAATTGGAAATACTTTATTTGACATTTTAGCTTACAGATCGAAATACAAGTTTTACGTTGAAAATTATTTCCTATTCTGAAACTGAAACGTCAAATAAAGTAGTTAGCAATTTTACAATTATAGTTCCTATTCTATTCGTTCCTTACGTGATCATAGAGGGGATAGGCAAAAATTTATCCTTTCTGGGGTTACTACTTGATTTTCAGGTGTCTTCGATGAGGATGATATAACTTTATTAGAAATCACAATAGACATTTCTGTTGACTCTGTGGATTTGACTTTTCAATTTAATTTGGTCTATCAGTCACAGAACGTCTAATTAACTCAGCTTCAGGAAATATATATCTATTAAGGGGGAAAATTCCCGTTTTATTAAAACCTGACAAGTAGGTATGCTTTCATATGTGCCTCTCCTACACATTGTGCTATCTGGTATATTGAAATAGGTTTACCAGGATGGCTCAGCAACCATGAGTCTATAGCGGCATTGTGATAAGCTTTAAAGGAAGCGAATATTGAAACATCAAGGAGTTGCAGTTTGTTACTACAATGAGGAGGCAGAGTCAGTATGATTACACCATTATCCTTTGCTAATTGAACAACGTGATATGTTACGTGACTCTCGTGATTGGCGTAGATCAGTATGGAAGGGTTTTCAATTGAACTGTTGCTAAACTTAATGAAGTGTTTCATAACGTCGACAAACAGTTCGCTATTCATCCATATACTTGTATTTACCAAACTCAGTGTGCCAGGTGGAGCTCTTTTTGTCATATGCTTCTTATAATATTTCCTTGGAAAAACCATGTCAGGGGGCAGAAACGTACCATTCGCACACAAAACGACACATGTGATAATAAGCTAATATAATTATTCAGCTGTTTTACAGCTTTCTCCGCCACGAGTTTTTTGGGGTTCTGCACTGTTGCACTGTACTATTCTCATCAAGGTTATATATCCTGATATTAGACACAGCTGATGGATGTCTAGAATAAACGGCATGTAAATTGTCGAAAAACATATTGACATTATGTGGATTAAATGATGTTAATCTTAATAAACTGCAACCGTCTAGTTGACGTAAACCGAGGTTCTCACGCCTATTTAAAAATGAACGGAACCATTGGAGTCCAGCTATTTTGGCCTTGATCTAATTCGCTGGACCTGGAATATTGTTTTTAATCGCCATACCATATGCTACCTTTCGTGCTTGAATGGTTGTTCATCCCTAGCCCATTTTGCTACAAGTTGATGTAATCACACAAAGAAATTTCCTGTTCCTCTGAAAACACACGTTCTTCTTCTTCTTAGGGTACCTGTCCGTTCCGAACGTTGGCGATCATTCTGGCTATGATGATTTTGTTGGTTGCTATACGAAATAGCTGTGTTGAGGTCTTTCTATACCATGCTGTCAGGTTAGCAAGTCAGGATATTTTTCTTCGTCCTGGGTCTCTTTTTCCTTCAATTTTACGTTGCAAAATGTATTGTAGTAGCTCGTATCTTCCTTGATTTCTCATTATATGTCCCAAGTACTCCAGCTTACGGCACTTCACGATGTTGACCAAATCCGCGGTTGTGTTCGTCCTCCGCAGTACTTCTTCATTGGTGACTTTGTTTGTCCATGGTATCTTCAGGATTCTTCTGTATAACCATAGCTCAAAAACCTGAAGTTTTGATAGAGTAAAACACACGTAGTACAGCATAATTGTGTTTCATTCGATCATTATCTGGATTAGTACTTTTTTTGCGACATATCTTTGTAATGTTTGAAGTTTTACTCCATGGTCAAGGACAGCAATTCTCAATTATTTTTCGTCCAAAACATTTTGTACGGCACTTGCCATATCATCGGAGATAAATCGTTAAATCAATAAATCGCTCGACTCTTGGTTTTTCTTTGCGCACCATATCTGTAACAAACATAATAAACTTTATTTTTACGAAATATGAAAATGCGTCACTACGAATTTGTTTTATTTTAAGACATTGTTTTCTAATTGATAATGATGCGCTTATGGCAGGGCGGGCGTTCATTTGTACAATGAGAAATCTAACTAGCAAACACTTTTAACATAAATCTTGTTTCTCACCCTTGTCCAAATGGCAGCCCGAGCTTCTGTCCTGTTATAAGCGCTTAATGAACAACTAAAAAATAATGTTTTAAAATAAAAATAAGCCCAAAATATTGATCGAGAACTGATGGAAGAAGGTTTGAACTTGAATTTAGGCACTTAAAAAATAATATTTTTTACTTGTGCTTTTGAGCTTTTAAAAATCACCGTTTTTTTCATTTTATAATTAATTATAATTTGAAGACGATTGACTTTAAATAAAAATTACAACATACTTGTTCAGAATTGATTTCTACAATTTCTAAACTATACAGCTCGTTCTAGAACTCTTTTTTTTGTTTCAATTCTCTGGTTGGTAATAAATCACAAATTATAAATTATATTTTTGATTGAATCGTAAACCGTTTTCAAGATACAATTGTTTTTATCATAGATTAAGGTTTACTTAAAAAATTGCAAAATACCGAGCAAAGTATTCTATATAACACTATATTTGAGATGTTTTTTTAGACAAGATAGCAACAGCGCTCCTACACAGAGAAAGAAATTTTCTAGCGAATTAAGTATTGCGACAGATAGAAATGGAATACTTGCACATAAAATGTCAGGTAATACGATAATAGCTCCGAGTAGTGTTCCAGAGACATATAGGTTGAAATTATCGTCCCACAGAAGTGATCATGAGATTCACACTCCCGAGCATAGAAGTTTTGTAGCTGGGAAACAGGTAAACCTTTTTATGTCTAATAATAGTTTCGTTTGAAAACTATTTACACTTTTAAGCACATATATTCTAACACTGAGTTTTTATAGCAAGCTGTATAATAAACAAAGTATTGGAGGTTGTCCATCATTCCGGCAAATGGATCTCTCTCTTAGTATTAGTTTTGAACAGTTAACTTGTATCTATTCATGATCCATTTCTTTCATTTTTTAGCCAGGGCTATTTTCTTTGTTCGGGCTTCTCACTCAATGTTGTATTCTTTCTGAGTTATGGCCACATTTCCAATGCTTCCCGTTATAACATACTACACTGAGTCACAAAAAAGTGACCACCCTATAAATTTCCGAAAACAAAAATTCATTTGAAGTTTTATGCACTGTTTCACATTGCATTTCAAATTATATATTTTTTGTGATCTTTTATGCTGGGTTTTGACAGTTTCGACGTTTATCGTTCCGGTCGTAGAAGAGTTATCTCGCAAAGAGATGATCGTTTTATTGTGATGGAACTTTTAAGAAATCGCTATTCCACTACAATTGCTGAAGAAACCGTCTACAGGAAGTTCAAAATGGGAATGTAAGTAAGAGAACGGTTAGAAGGCGCCTCAATGACAAGAAGGCAGGCCATTGTTCCCGAATTACAATCCAGACACTGTAGGATTTGATTAATTTTTTCTCGACAAAATCAACACTGGGATATACAGAATTGGAGCTGAATTCTCTTTACTGATGAATCGTGGTTCTGTTTGAAGTCGAGCGATGGCCGTGAGAGGATTTGGAGGCGGAGAAATAAAAGATATGTCCAAGCTTGTATGTTCCATAGAAGAAAGTTTGGTGGTGTTGGTGTCATGGTTTGGGCTGGAATCTCACTTGAAGCTCGAACTGAACTTATTTTCATCAATGGCTCCCTGAATGCTCACTGGTATATAGAGGATGTTTTAGCAGAAGCAGTAGTCTTATTTGGTTTTTTATTGGGGACAATTTCGTCTTTATGCATCATAATGCACGGTCGCATACTGCAAGAATCCTGACATATTACTTGGGGAAAGTTGGAATCAGACTCTAGAACGGCCAGTCTGTAGCCCCGATTTGAATATCAACATCTTTGGGATGAACTTCATCGTAGGGTTATAAGCCAACTAGGCCAGCAGAAAGTCTCGCAGAACTTGCTTCGTGAAGAATATGAATGTATTGTAAGAATAAAACACTGAAAACTTTGTTTTCAAACTTCCACAAAATTTATTTTAAATATTATCACTACAGCTGTTTCGGCTGATTGCCTTTCTCAAGTGATCTATTTTGGCTTGGGTTTACAAATTTTTATATATATATATATATATATATATATATATATATATAATCTTGTTTGACTGCCCAAAAACTTACATCGGTCAAACTGGTAGAAACTTTGATAAACGAATAGCAGAACATAAAAGGGCTTTCAAGAATAGAAAAACAGATTCGACATATGCACTTCACCTTCTAGATCATAATCATTCTCTTAATCATAAATTTAAAATTCTTCACAAAATAAAGGCCTTAAGCTATCTTTGTTAGAATCTATGGAAATCAACAAATTAAAAAACACAGATATAATTCTGAATGACCAACTTGAGACAAACAGTTCTCCTCTCCTCAACCTATTTCATTAGAGACTATAAATTTGTAAACCCAAGCCAAAATAGATCACTTGAGAAAGGCAATCAGCCGAAACAGCTGTAGTGATAATATTTAAAATAAATTTTGTGGAAATTTGAAAACAAAGTTTTCAGTGTTTTATTCTTACATAAAATGAATTTCCATCAAGTAACGGTCGAATCCATCAATTATATGAATGTATTCCTTACGTTTTTATTCAATTTTTTTTCCTTTCCCTTCCAAATCGTATACAAACGGTTATTGATTTTTATGGCATAATACCCGATATTAGACAATTTTGTTTAAAAGTTCACTTGTAATTTTTATTGTTTGTAATTCGTTTCGATATCACACTATTTTTTGTTGTAGCCTTCTAATAAAATAAATTATGCTCAGAAATCATAAAAATTTTTGTTTTAAAAATAAAATATGTTGGAATACAATATGAAACAGTGCATAAAACTTATAATGAATTTTGATTTTCGGAAATTTATAGGGTGGCCACTTTTTTTTTGCCGGTCAGTGATATTACTGCAAGGGTCCATGTTTTGATTTCATACGGTAGTATGCAATGACTGTAAAATTTTCCAAATGGATATCGAAAATCCATTAGTATGGTAGAGTTTATAAAATGCTTTTTAATTTGGACGGTCTTTGAGGAGCTTTTTATATATAACATATAAAATCATTCTGGTGATTTACATTATGTATGCTAGTGTTTACTGTATTAATTTTTAGTCACTGTCTGTCACATTTCTTTGTGTTATAGTGTTCGGTAGGTACTTCTTACAAGTCTTCAAATTATGATAGGCTGTAATAAAAAATGTATGTTCTCTGCATACCAAAGTTGTTGTCCGTATTCTCTAAAGCTAATTATATATATATATATATATATATATATATATATATATATATATATATATTATAATATATATATATATATATATATATATATGTGTGTTTTTAAATACATGTGTATGTATATATCAACTTCCTGCTTTTCTGTTAATATTGTGGATCCATCTATGTATGCTGTTCGTTATCTCTTAGGTCTATGGTATAGAAGAAAGGTAACAGGGCCAGTGCTATGCTTCAACCGCCTATTATTACACTTGGTTTTACCCAAGGTACTCATTTTTATTCAAGTTTAGTCCACCTGTGGCCTGTAAATATTTAAAAATATCTAGATGTTCTCGCCGGCGCTGAAATTCGATCCCCGGCTTGCTGTGTGGAAGTACACTCTACCCCCTGAGCTTTTTTTCTTGTATTTCCTCCATTAAATATCTTTTGAAATCGATAAAGCACAAATATATGTCTTTTCGTCAGTCATGATATTTTTTAAGCAACTTGTCATTTTTTAGTTTGACGATTCCCAAAGAACAGTCCAAGGGTTAGTAACACCACATCGTTATCCATTAATACGGCCAGTGAGTCCAAAAGTTCTGCCAGAGCCTTTCGATTCCAGTGAAATATTAGAAGCGTCTTCAAACGGTCTTAATGAAGGCATACCTGATTCTTCTGATAGTTACAGTAACAACAGTTATGCATCGGCTGTGGGCAGCCAAGAAGATTTTACGCTAGTTGATTTACATATGCAAGTAAATCGATTGATAGTTGATTCACCGATGCTGATGTCGAGCTACGTTACTCATTTAACTCAAGTAAAATGTACAAATTGGGGAAGTACCGGACAAGGAGATCAGTTTTCGCAACATTTATTTGAGAAAAGTCAAGAGGACAAACTGGTATATGTTGGTAAGTAAGAATAACTATCAAGAGGGTACTTAAACTTTTTTCTCTGCCAAGAATAGAGTTAAAATATCATGCAGCCTCTTATTACATACTAGGGATTATTGAATATAAACTGCGAGGCATCCATAAGGGATTTAGCTAAATATTAAATAAATTGAATTGTACAACAATTATACAACTGTATAAACCAACTAAGTCACTCATCTATATCAACAATTGACACTATTTTTTTGATTTTTGTATTCAAAGAAATAAATAATTAAATTAAATTTATAAGCTGTTTATACTTTATTATTCCATAGAACGAAACCGAAAAATCACTTTAAGAAACTAAACATGGCTGGGTGCTATTTTTGACTGGAACATGTGGGGGTATCGACGACTTTCGTGAAAATACTTTCTCCTTAAAATGAGATTTTCTAAATTAAAAAATGTTTATAAACAAAAAAGTTATTGCAAATTAAATCCGAAAGTAAGCATGTTTTTCAATTGTTTATTGAATTATTTCAATTATTAAAATAAATATTACATGCATTTAAAACACATTTCATAATGTGAGTTTTTTATGTAGTTACTGCATTTTCGAACGATTGGCACAATCGATCAAGTAGTTTTTAAACAATTATATTTGTTTATCCCATTTGAGAGAACAAAGGTTATTTTCAAATGGCTGTACAAGTGCTTTGTCAATACTTAGAATGTGTTTTTGGTCTTATTATCTTTATAAGGTCTCAAATTTTCATGTTTTTTTTTAAAAAGTATGTGTGTTTACTTACAAATAATTGAAACATAATGATGTACCATTACCATTTTATTGGCAGTATCCCTAACTTGTGCCGCTCAGTATTGTTAGTTCTCAGTATTCTTGATTGCATTTTTTGTGTAATCTTCATGGTAGAAGGTAGATGGTTTCGAATCTCCTCAAAGTGAACCCAATAGGTAAACAATTTAAATCAGGTATTAAGAAGAACTGGAGGGAGTAGAAATAAAAGATTTTTTGACAAAATGTGGTTTGCTCGAGGAACAACGTCCTCAAGCAGTAACATTAGTACAAGCTGACAAAAGCTTAAAAGTGCATATATGTTGCCCACCTACCTAATTGTGGTTTATGTTTTGTTTGTTACAATAAAGCCACTCTGATGAATCCCTGAGCGTGAAAAGTGTTCTCCTTGTACAATCCTGTATGACTGTACACTAATATTTATATGTAATTACGTGGCTAAAGGTTTCAAGCCAAAGCCAATAATAATTAAAAAAAATGTATGATTCTTCTCATAACCTTTTTTCAGTGCTTCATTTCTTTCTAATACGTGTACTAGATAGCGACAAAAATTGTATGTCTGATTATTTCTCAAATAAAATCAACACATTGCATATTGCGTCTCTTTGCAAAGATTTCTTCTGGGTTTCTATCTTTTGTTTAGAAATACCAATGAATGAATCGTTTAAAACAAACTGTGATGTCTTTTGTTTGATTGTTTTCAGTCAGTTTAATCCTGGAAATTAAAAGAAGGACACAATTATCATGGCCTGTTTTTGGTAAGTTGAGCTTCATTTTAAAATACCGAAAAATCACAATTCACTTAAAACGAAAAACCTATGACGCTTGTATACTACCAGTGGCAACTTATGGATTGGAAACTATGGCAATAACAAGAAAAATGGTAGAACAATTAAGAGTAACTCAACGGGCCATGGAGAGGGCCATGTTAAATATAAGCCTCAAAGATAAAATTCCTAACACCGAAATACGTCGAAGAACTAAAGTAACCGACATCATGGGAAAAATAGCGACATTGAGATGGCAATGGGTAGCACATGTAGCAAGACAAGACCTACAGATGGTCTCATAAAGTGACATTCTGGAGACCTCGAGAAACAAAAAGAAGCGTAGGAAGACCTAAAAAGAGATGGATAGACGATATAACTGCTGTAGCTGGAAAACAGTGGATGAGAATTGCAAAAGATAGAGAAGCGTGGAAGCAATTGGAGGAGGCCTATGTCCAACATTGGATAAATGAAGGCTGAAGAAGAAGAAGAAGAATCCGGTATAATATGCATAACTTTCTGAGTGTACATTTGCATTGTCCACATTTTTTCTTGTACGTCTTCGCTGTGCCTCATAAACTGTAATGAGAACGCAAATATAAATTTGGGCATCACGAGTCTGTAAGAGATTATAATCTCTTAAAATGTTGTCTTTGTTCTTGATTTATCGCATCAAAACATTTGTACCTCATGTATAAACCATTTTCACCTGTTTCATGACCTTGCAGCTGTATCTTCTTGTTTAATTCCCAAACATGACCAAAAGTCTCTCATTTTTTACTAATTGTTTCACACATTGGAACGTCTAACTCATCGTCTAATATTTTTAGCCTCACAATTCAAAGATACACAGTAAAAAATTCCCTTCACGCGACTCTTTTGCTGTTTTGGACTCATCTTTCTGACCATGTCTAATCCTACAACTTATGTTTGTGTGCATTCTCGCCTTCCTCCTTATAACTATATGCAGATAATGGAGGTACAGTATGGCCTCCATAGTTGCTGTTGGTATGTCCCTCAGAGTTCCTGTGATTCCAAGGCAAGCAAGTCTTTGCACATTGTTTCGTTTCAGGATGACACGTTTTTACTGCACCTTTGACCACCATACCAGTGATGCATAGATAATTGTTGTCTTTACCACCATGTTATAAATCCAATATATCTGCATTTTTACATAAGTAAAATAATTACATTACATTACAATAATTTTACATAAGTAATAACTATTAACATAGTTACCGCTCTCTTGGTTATTCGTTCTATCTGCTGATTACAAGTATGCTTCGAATTCAGCAGATACTTTTTGATGTCCCCCTTGTCTTTTTCATTTTCTTTGCTTCTAAAGCTTTCTTCTATTTCTTGCTGTTTTTCTAATTCCAAATCCAGAATTGAAAAGGCAAAGTCAACTTTTATCAAGATGAAGCATATATTTACTAACAGGGACTTCTCAGTGTCACTAAAAGTTATATTGAGTTAGATTGATTAGTATGACGTGTAAGCATGGACCACAAATTGTTTTTCAAATGCTCTTTTTTGGGCTTTTATATATGGTAAGCTGTAACATTATTGTTAATATTTCCTGTGCAATTAAAATTGAAATAACTATTATTTTCCAACAAACCCTTCGCTTATATAAAAGTAAGTAAAAACACAAGTAACAATGAATAAGCGTCAATGAGCCGTGAGACCCTTTCTGTCAGCGTACTACTCATCCATCGGCTAACTCAATTGGCCACGTGCCGTTTTTTACTTTTTAATTCTTCTTATAATTAATTACTAATTTTTTGTTATTTGATGTTAAATTAGGTGCCAGATTTGTCCCAAATATGGAGACCGTAAACGATGGCATAACATCTCTCAAAATGGTTTCGAGGTCCGATAACAACAAAACTCCCACTTCTCCTTTTATATATGTTTGGGATCAGGAAGAAGTTGAAAACGATTCCGGCTCTTTTCAAGAAGAGGAATTATTAAGTTGTCACGGTGATGGCTGTTCAAGAACGACATTAATTGTTAAGTTAAAAGGGGACTTAGATGTTATGATTAGTCCATTGCTATTGGAAACATTGCAAAAGTGAGTATTTCAACTTGTATAAGTAAGTATTCTTTAATTTTTATATAGTGTTGGAACTCCCAAGAAATGAATATATAAGAGGTAGTTAGTTGTTTCCATTCATTCCTTTAGTAGATTCACTATTTTGGTATTAAGTTTATGATTACAAAAATCATTATATGATTATAAAAAAAATATTACTGAAAAAGGACGAACTAGATGAACCTGAGAAAAAATAGAAATCCGTTAGATAAAAGAAACAAATGGATTAATAACCTACGAGTTAGTTAGTACCAGTTATTCTCTGGCATCGCTTGTTTTGGAATTCAATACAAAAATTTAAACGGCATCATTCGAATCCGAAGGAACATTGGTGCGTTCTAAAAATCGGGAATTTTCGCTGTACACCTAGTAGATGCTTTCAGTACCATCGGTTAATAAAACTTACCAAAACAATGAAACGATGTATACCTATTATCGCCTATAAAAACCCTTCTCCCCCACAGAAGTAATACAGGTAATAAAATTGTTAAAATCACCAAGGCCCTTGGACACAACTTGATAGTAGTGATATTTTGAAGAACTTTTAAAGCATTAGTCCTATTGAGGATTGAAAATTACCCCATCTAATTGAAAAAGGCTATATTTAAATGGCGCTTGCTTAAAATAACAGAAGAAATGGTGCATCTAAACGGGCTTATACCGAATCATGAATTTGAATTTACAATAAAATATTTAACAGTACAGATTAAAACTAGTTTAGGAGGAAAAGAATCCTAGAGTTAGATCTCAACATGGATATGATTGCGTTTAGCTGGTTGAGTTCTTTATAAACTAAACATTTTCCTACCCTATTGATTTTACTTTAACCTGATTAAAAATCAGGATTTCTTCCACCCTTTTTAGATGGCAATAGAAACAGAAAATAATGTTAATACATACCAATAAATCAGTTCAAATGGCAGTTACCACAAAAAGACTGAGACCAAATCTTGTATTACACTTGGACGGCAAATTGATATCGAAAACGCACATAAAAACAAAGCCACCACCTTGATCTAAAAATCAGGAATATGTTTTGGATAATTAATAAGAAGTCCAAACTGTTGTAACATTTTTTTATAATTAGATTAGTAACTAATTATTATATATTACTTTAAGATTAATTTTAAAAAATACCATTTGCAATTACCGTAGCTACGTCGATGGCCGTATCCAAAAAGCTCCCTTTTGCACATCGCCGAAACGAATGAGAGGTTCCGATGTAGTCCTTTATGAGAATATAACGGTACTTTAGATTTTGTATCTTTTTAGACCTATATCCTTCGATATCTTTCAGCTTTTTTATTTCTTAAAAGAAGTACCGAAACATACAGATTACTTGATGGCTGTAATCCCAAAAAGTTAAGTGGCGCCCTTTTCCTTCTTCTCTTATCTTTGGAAATTTTACCTGTCTCTCTTGTTGTCTATTTCTCTGTCTTTTCTAATATATCTTATCTTGTCTTATCTTTATTATTTCTTCTGTTGGAGTCATTCCTGGTTCCAAAAGCTAGTTTCGAACCCCCGAAGGTTTCCGAGGTTATACTATCTCTTTAAAAACAAATTGATTATCCAAAAATGTATACTTAAGCCCATTTGGACATACGAGGGTTGTCTTTTTAGCTTTGCATATAGCCATAAAGACAAAAAATATATAGACTTAAAGTACTTTATTGCTTTTCAAAATATGTACCACCAATATCGATACACTTTTGCATACGTTCAAACAAATTGGTAAAACAGTTATTCCAATTTTCAGTTGACACAAACAGTTGATGTTTTGAATCTCCAAATAAATTGTCTTTTGGACAGTGTGAGCACTTGAATTGTCCTGATGTAGGATAATTAGCCGTTGTGTGTTTGGGTGTGGCCATTTTCTTTGACACACTTCGAGAACGGATCACATTTGTTGCTTTTTCCTCATCGTGAAACACACACACCCACACAGCGGATTGGCGTTTATTTTCCGGTTTGTAGGAGTAAATCCAGGATTCATCGCCACTAACAATATTATAAACGTTTTTTGAGCTTCCTTTGTGGAACTGTTCCAATGTTTCTCGACACCAATTGACGCGAACCGCTTTTTGTTCTGTTGGTAAATGAGGAATCCAACTGGAAACCAACTTCGTAATAGCCAGTTCTTCATGTGAGTTCTTTTGGATCGAGGGTGTTTGAAATGCCCAAAGATGCCTCTATCTCTTGTTATGTTAAACGGCGGTCATCCTTAATTAGCTGACGAACCGCATCAATGTTTTGCTGTGTGACTGCTGTTTTGGGTGGACCTGGCCTGTATTCGTCGCCGAGACTGGAGCGACCACGTTGAAATTCGAAATATAGCGCGAAATAGTTGACTGCTGTGATGCTTCATTCCCAAACACAAAAATCATTTCAGAGAGACATTGCTGCAGACATTGTGTAATCCTCTCCGAAAATTTGTAAACAATTATTGCTCGAAAATGTTCTCTGCTAAAATCCATTTTTCGACCGAGCTGTATGCAAAATTAAAAAGACAAACCTCATATGTGAATAAATTTTCTGGCTGTAACAAGCAATCAAATACCAAAATACTGCAGTTATTTCAATCCTAACATTTGATGTTTGGATTGAACATCAACTACGGAAACATTAAAGAGATTGTAAGAAAACAAGCAAATAAAGTAGATTATATATCAGGATGTAGGGATACGAGAGTATATACAGCAGAAATAAAAAGAATACCAAATAATCATGTAAGAGATCCTTGTAAAATACAGAACATCAGTATGTTACACGAATGCATAATGAGGGACTACCCCGAATAGCAAAGAATTTACGATCAACGGGCTTCAGAGCAAGAGGACGAGATAGCTGGCAGTTAACGCCACAAATACAATTTCGACCTTGAGATCGAACGAGAACAGGCTTATGACCTAATAGAATATCTTTTTATAAAGTAGATGGTTAATAGTGCCTTTATGTAAATATTTATTAGGATACATTGGACTTTCGAGCTTATAATCCGTTATTTGGAATTGCTTCTTCTTGACATTTTTTTTTCTTCGGCTCTGTAAACATCAAAGGTGAGGTGACAACGTTCGTAGTGTTTTTCCGAAAGATAGCGGATCGCTGGCAGTTAGAAATTCACAGAAAATACAATAGATGAAAAAGAAAAATAAAGGTGAAAAAGTAATGTCACTACAGAAAAATTGACGTCGCCTACAATTCAGTAGAACAGCGGTATATAAAAATCATTATAATGGTACTTAACCTTCGGAATAATTTACATATATTACACCACAATATATTTAGATGCTCTTTAGTGAAAGCTTTTATTTTCAGATTTATTGATGCTCTTACACCAACTGTAGCTAATTTACATCCCTTAACTGTCATAAACCATCTACATACTTCATGTATAGGACAAGTTGAGTCAGCTAATATCCTAAAAACAACCGACAATGTTGCCAAGTTATGCCAACCTCCTAGCGAAGACGGTAAAGTTAAAGCTCTTAATGTATACGAAGAAACTGTTAAAACACAGTTGCAGGCTGCAATGTTTTTACCGAAAGTAAGTAACATTCATATAAAGTGAGAGTTGTTCTAAATTATTTATTTTAGGTTAATGTTACATTACTACAAGTATCGATTGTGGAAGAGATTATATCATTTTCGGCACTGGATAATATTAAAGATTTAACATGTGTATCGTTGTTCTCAGTTTGTTTTGATAATATCAACGTGAAATTACATTGTGACAAACAAGTAAGTATATAATTTTAAGCCTATATTTTTCACCTATTTGCTTGCAGTACAGCGTATTTATTTTTTGAGCTAAAACGAAGTGAATTAATCCTATTGCTTTATATTTTTAATTATAATGATAAAAGATTAATGAATATTAACTTTTTGTTTTTATATTATAGGCTAAGGAAGTACTCCAGAAATTTTTAAGACCGGCTGTTGTACGTAGCGGCAGCAAAAAGGGGGCGAACAGAGCAAAGATTTTGCTTGGGTTCCAAACGAATACTAACTCTGATGTAATTCAATGCGATCCTGTTTTTATCGAAAGTTGCGAGAAGCAACAGCAACAATTAGTAATCAGTCTAAACGTTGGAAAAATGCATGCTCAATTAAGAAGACTGAGAAATGAAAGTTCACTGCTAGATGACGCTATTATTACTGCTATACCAACTTATAAATCTAAAGTGCTCTTTACCCCGACAAAAGTTAGATCGCTTTATAGAGGCATGGAATATTATCTACAATCGCCGGATACTGAGAGTCACGTAAGTTGTTACTAATTGTTTTTCTTTATTAGTTTTATAATTATGCACAAAAATCATCCCAACTTGACTCCAGTCAAGTTGGGATGACAGCAGACCTTGTTAGCAGCGCGCCTGAAAAGTTCAATTGAACTACACCCGAACCATTCACGTAGATTACGAAGCCACGATATTTTTCTTCTTCCCACACTTCATTTGCTCTTAATTTTGCCCTGCATGATGTTTCTTAAAAGTTCGTACTTTTCACCTCTCACAATGCGCCCCAAGTATTCCATCTTTCTAGTTTTTATCTCATTTAGAATTTCGCATCTTTTGTCTAAAGTTTGGAGTACTTGTGTGTTAGTGACGCGGTCCATCCATGATATTCTGAGAATGCGCCTATAGCACCACATCTCGAAAGCTTCGATGTTTTTTATGGTCAACTGTTTTAGTGTCCAAGCCTCAACTCCATATAACAGGGTAGAAAAGACATAACACCGCAGCATTCGTATTCGTAACTTTATATTGATATCACGATTGCAAAAGAGTTTGCGCATTCTATTAAAGACTGATCTAGCGATTTCTATTCTACATCTAATCTCTTTTGTTTGATCAGTATCGTCTGTGATCCAAGCACCTAGATATTTATAACAGGGCACACGCTCAATCGTTGTATTGTCTATTACAAGATTAGCTCTGATGTTCTTTGATTTCGTGATTACCATAAATTTAGTTTTTTTTCAAATTAATTTTCAAGCCGTAACTGTTACAGTATATATTGAGACTTTGAACGAGATGTTGTAGTTCTACTAGCGTTCCCGTTAGGAGAACTGTATCGTCAGCATACCTTATATTGTTGATCGTTCATCACCATTTATTATCAGACCAAGATATTCTTCCTCGAGTGCTTGTTCACAGATAGCTTCACTATACAGATTAAATAAAAGTGGCGATAAGATACATCCCTGCCGGACTCCTCGACGGATTTGAATTTCTTCTGTTAGTCTGCCCTCAACCTTGACATTTGCTGTTTGATTCCAATATAGATTGCATATAATTCGAATATCTCGGCTGTCTATATTTTTCTTTATTAGAACTTGTCTTAGTGGTTCATGTTGTACTTTGTCAAAGGCCTTTTCGAAATCAATAAAGCAGGCGTAAATTTCTTGGTTCATGTCTAAGCATCTCTGTGAGAGAACGTTCATTGCAAACAGAGCCTCCCTTGTACCCAGCCCTTTTCTGAATCCCATCTGAGTGTTACTGATGTCTACGTCTAATTTCCTATAGATCCTATTATTTACATAGAATTAGTTTATTCAGTTATATTTTAACGTGAATTGCTGGTAATTTTTAATTGAGTATTCTATTCTTGTCAGCAAGTCCCTGCAACGGTATGCGCAGGCGTAGTCTGATCAGTGTGGGGTTGGGGCGAGGGGTCGCTGAAGCAGCGGTCGCCATGTTGCCGGTAGTCGTTTAGCGTCATCGCGCGTGCTTATTACGACTTATTAATTTTGCTTATTAATTTTGATGGCTTTACGACTGATTCTCGATTTTAAGAAGCGGATGGCAACGACGGTTTTTGCTTTTTCGAAATTTATTTTGTGGCCTGTCTGAATATGATGTTGGGCTAGGACTGAAGTAGAATCGGAATGTTTGACTAATATAGAATGTTCGTAAATACGGTTATGGATTGGTCGGTTTGTCTGTCCTATGTATGTACGTGGGCAACTAGAACAAGGTATCTCGTAGACACCATGGTCTTCATTGGGATTTGGTCTTTTACGGATCTGACGAGATTGGACAAATTGGAGTGAGTAGTGAAGATGGTTTTGATGTTTAGAGGGATAAGAGTTCCACTGATCTTGTGAGTGACACCTTTAATAAAAGGTAGAAAGATTTTGGGTTGATCCAGCGATAAGATTTCTTTTTTGGATATAATGGGGTTTATAAGTTTTTGAATGCTCCTACTGAATTTGGGTTTTGTGGTAGCCCTTCTGTAAGTGTTTTTGAATTATTGAATTGATTTCGGATGACCTGTGATTGTTGTCACAGTCTTTTGGAACAGGAAATAAGAGTGTTAATAATTGAATTGAGTTGGGTGGGGTGATAATGTGAGTGGGCATTGAGATAACGGTTTGTATGACTGGGTTTCCGGTACATGGAATAGGAAAAACAAGCAAAAGGGTATTAGGTGGGTTTTTCTGAATAAGAACATCAAGAAATGGAAAAGACGCTCCATACTTAACTTCCATCGTGAATTGAATACTGGGATGTATTCCATTCAAGTGGGAGATGAAGAGATCTAATGTGCCTTTACCACGGGGCCAAAAGACAAAGGTGTCATCAACGAACAGTAACCAGCAGGTAGGTTTGAGATTTGATGATGACAGGGCTGCTGTTTTGAAATGTTCCATGTAGATTTCAACTATTACGGGAGATAGGGGGATCCCGTTGATGCACCTTTGATTTGACAATAGAAATGATTTTGGAATAAAAAGTATGTATTGGACATGCAGTGTTTTATAAGAGGTAATGTGTCGTGGGGGATTTGATTGTTTAGCCGTCTACGACAATGTATTACACAACGGTAGATTTCTTTGGTGGCGCCATCGGGCGGTGAGGTTGAGTACTTATCAAACCGCCTACGTATAATCAAACATTTTCGTAAAAATGCACTAATATTATTCTGCATGTAACTTAATAAATTTTTTAAACCAAATCATCAATTCAGTTGCCTTCTTGCTTGGCAATTGGCATACTGTCTACTATCTTAAAATTATTTTCTCATCTTCTGCTTCAATGCAAAACTGCTTCCAGAAATAGCTATAGCGTGAATAAATTAGGACATATTTAGATAAGTTAATTTAACTGGAAGTGAATGGACGATGTACTCTATGATCGAAAAATTGGGGTGGTCAGGGACTTTTCCGGCTTATAATGGTGAATATATTCATTAAAAGAAGTAAATGTTCTTACTTATGATGTCGTGTGTCTTTAGTATTATGTATAATATACTTTTACTTGTATTAAATTAGGTAGTTAATATATAATAAAAATTTTACTTTTTAGAGTATTCCTACGGACGATATTAGCATTGACGACAAACTCGGGTTTATAATGTTCGAATGTGGTCTTGAAGGTGTCGCTATTAAAATAGTTAAAAAATCACTATTTGAACATGTAGAAGATGATCCGCGCCCACCGGAAGTACCTGAACCTATTGATAATTCCGACAAATCAAATCATACGACACCGAAGCTATCCGAAGCCAAATCGCAAGGGCTCTTAACACCTAAACTTAAAGAAAAAGACAGAAAATCGACACAGGAAGACGTAAACGTTAAACCAGAAAGAGTTAGCGAGAACAGAGAAGTTACAATTGTTCCGAAAGATAATGGCAATGTGTCGTCATGTATAATTGAGTTTAAGGTAGTTTGGTTTAATTTTGCAGCTCCTCCAAGGGCTCCTATCACAAGGAAAATCGACTACACAAGGTATTTAAAATTTTCCTTTTTTATTTTATTAAGAGAATGAATAATATAAAACATAATAAACGCAAAACTCAAAAAATCTTGGACAATTCCAAACTTAACTTACGCATGTTTAGGTTTAATATATAACCTCCAATGTATCTACAGCGAATTGGGATTTGTGAGTATATCGAGTTGGCCAATGATGAGTATTAAATTGGTAGATATGTTAAGGTTACATTGTGACGCTTATTCATTTATACCTATCCTCCTCCTCCTCATTCCTTGAGCACTTGTCAGGGCGTGGTGATCCTGGTGGTCCTCTTAATAGTATTAGCTTGCTGCCTCCATTGGCTACGATCCTGTGCCATATCGAGATAGCTTCATGTAGACAGTTTCTCACCAGAATCTTCATTTGGTCTGCCTATCGTGTTGGAGACCTCTCTCTTGGACTTCGGCCTTCTACCTTGCCTTCTACTACCAATAGTTCTCGTGGTCCCCGTTCTTCTAGCTAGTAAATTAGGTATGCTCGTTTTACTTGTTTTAATAGCCTCTCTTTTATATGAAGTTCTTCCAAAATTGACAGGTTGGTTCAATGTTCTGTCCAGGACACACGTAGATTTCTTCTATATACCCACATTTCGAAGGCCTCGATCTTATTACTATCGATTTTTTTGAGGGTCCATGGTTCAGCTGCGTATGTAGCAATTGGAAAATATGGACATTGACCAACCTGAGCTTAGTATTTCTTGTTCGGTCTTTCCATATTTTAATCAGTTTAGCTGATGTGGTTACCCCTATAGGAAAACAGATTCTAGAAACATCCGTGCATTTATTAATTTTATCATCATTTTTGGCTCGACAATTATGTGTAGATCCTGGCCTGCTCTAAGATTAATCACCATTCTGTTCGATTCTTTGTTGCCATCTTCTGATCTCTAGTATCCCTAAGTCGGTCTCAACTCCATCTAACCACCTAATTCGCGCTCGGCCTCTGCTTCGTCTTCCTATAGGTGTTCTTGTCGTTAGCTTTTTAGCTATCATGTTGTCAGGCATTGTCATTGTTGACTAGACCGACCTTTTTGGTTGCCGTTTGAAAATTCCAGGAAATATTGTTCAATATCTCGCTTGGTACGCTCTATGATGTCAATATCATCAGCGTATGCTAAGATTTGTATCGATCTATTGGAAATAATACTGTCGTCTTTAATTCATGTGTCTTTGACTGCCTTTTACAAGACAGTGTTAAATAGGAGGCAAGCCAGGGCATCCCCTTATCTGAGTCCATCCTTTATCTCAAAGGATCGAAAATTTTCTCCCTGTATTCTAACGCTTGGTTTTAAGTTAGACATTGTCATTCTCGTTAATGGGATGTTTTTTTTTATACCAAACTCATTCATTGATGGGTATAGTACTGTTCTCTTGACAGTCGTATGCGGCCGTGAAGTCGACGAATAAGTGATAGGTTTCAATGTTACGAAATTAAAATAAAGGTTTGTTTAGTAAGTACATAAATAATTCAAAAGGAATTTTCTATACAATGAAAGGATATTAGATCACCATCCTCCGTATAGTAGACGCAGCGTCATAAAATAGATTTGTGAAATCGACCATAAGATTGAAGCCATTTTCAGGATACAAAAATTGTAAAAGCGTGGACAATTTTCAAGTTTTTTTTTTAAATTAATTAATGACTTTGGATAACTTGATCCTTTCGGCCACGATAATGTATTTGACTACTTGAAATTGTTAATGATGTATTGACCTATTGCATTTGTTAACAAAATAATACTTCGCCTAGAGGTAAATTAAAAATATATTGTAAACTGAATATTTAGGACCAACAATGGATTACATAATATATGAATACTTTTCACGCTGAGGTGCCTGTCATAGCGACTTTATTACAACACAATTTTCAACTTTATTATTTTGTTTTTGTCAGGTTAATATAATAATTATTTAATAAAATTTTGTTTATGTGATTGTAGATTAGACTGGAATTTGTTAAGTACTGCATCACCAGCAATCAATGCATGGATGAATCCAAGTAATAGACTAGCTATTAGGGTAGTGCATATGGTGAGGACTATGTATAAAAGATCTACTGCTACTATAGCTTGTTTAATGGCTGAAGCTCTTGAAGGACAAAGAATAACGCTTTCCAAGGTAAAATTTCAATTATTTTATGCAACTATTTTTTTTTATTATACTAAGCATAATATATGATAATAAGAAAGTATGAAGTAGAATCGAATATAAATCGATATTCTATTAGACAAGTCACATTTCAAGTAAAATGTGTCCCAAAACATATTGTCTTAGTTTTTTTCTCTAAACATTTTCTTGTTACCATTCTTACCAGACCATGATAAAATATCAAACCTCTAGGTATGTAATAGTATTGTAACAATTGTCTAATAGTAGTAAAAAAAATTAAATAGTATTGTAGCAATAATAGTAGTACATTAATAGTAGTAGTTTTAATGTAAAGAAAATTAAAATGTTTAGTGAAAATTAAAAAGTCAATACTTTTATTAATAATGTTACAAAAAATATAAAAAAAAAATAAACAAACATATAGTCATACAAGAGAAAGATTTTAATCACACAATATGATACGAAACCAATACGAAAATAGTAACATACTAGTTCACAAAAAGGAAATTAAAAAGCGATAGAAAAAATATTTTGAGTTTATTAAATAAAAAATTAACAGAAAATTAGGATCAACGAATCAATTAGGGGTATCCCTAATTATATATAATAATATATAATAATATAAAAGGAACAGTAACCAAAATAAAAAATGGGGAAGTTACTCAGCCATTTAAAAAAACGGGATGTGGCACTTCGGTAGTGAATGAGGAGGGGAAGCGTAGCTTCGTCGTCTACGCACGGAGCGATGGTTTTTAACCATCTTAACCATAAATTGTATTGTATATATACTTTTATTTTATTGCATTTTATCTTATTGTATTTTATTTTGTCTTAAGAAACACGCATAGGACTGCGTTTACTACTCCACGTAGTATGTGGGTGTGCGATTTGTCGTTTCACCGCGTTTGTGTGGTTTTTATATTTTCATATAATATCCCTGGGAGAGTGTGGACTTGTTGGTAAAAACAGCAAAAAATTGGTTAACAGATTTTGTCAACAGATTTAAGAAATCGGAAAAATGCAAATGCTCTAAGATACTGTATCCCTGAAGGGATATAGTATGTATCTTAGCAGTATCTGTATACAAATGGAAAGGGGTTGTCCAATAATACAAAAACTACTTGGCCGTAAGACTTAGTCACACCATAAACATTATGAAAGAGACAAATTGATAGACGGGTACGTGATTATATAAAATATCCGAAAATGAGTTGGTATTTGTATAAGACAGATCAAAAATAGATGCATTTTTCAGCAGCTGATCGAAATATCTAGGAATAAAAAAATGATCATTTAGTATTCATATTTATTGATTTTAAAAAAGTAAGGATATTATTTATCAGCCGTCCCGTCATCTGCTTAGTGGTCTTTCTGGTAGTCTCCTTTATTCTCGTTACGTGTTAATAACAGTTCCTTCTTTGTTATCTCTCTCTCTCATATTAGTAAGTTTTGAATATCGCATTTTCCGAATTCCAAAAATAATAGTTTGCTACTTGATCCCAACTATTGTTTATCAGTATGGATCTTACTGATTTAATTTAGCCTGTTCTTAGAACCAGTTTTGTTATTTTTTATCAACTCTCGTATCGATCGGGTATGTAAATATTGGTCGAATACAGTTTGTGTATATTCTTGTTTTTGTTTTTAAGAGCAAATTCTTGATTTTTTTTTTATATTATGTCTCTTAATGCTTTCGTTGATGCTTTCTTTATTTTTGTGGCTGTTCCTGGTTTGTCTCGCTGACTTACTATATTCACTCCTAAAAATCTGAACATTACCTAGCTTATGATTTCTCCTTCGATATCTGGTTTCAATCTTCTTGGTTCCTTGGACATAGTTACTCATTAAATATGTGATTGTTAAAATTGAACAGGATTTAACCTACCACGTTATGTTATTCCTGTGTCTCTTATTAATTCTTTAGTTAGTATTCCGTCAGTTTTATATTAGGCAATCAGAATTCAGATCTTTTATAGTTTTCATGATTTTTTGGGCCACATTTTTCCCCTTTAGGTGTCCGTAAGTCATATTTTGTATTAAATATGGTGGATGTATGCATCTAACAGTTATCGGAGATCCGAGTTGTGAGAAACTTATGTGACATTTTAAATTTCTCTGTGATCCAGCAAATATTTTTAAATATTTTGTTATCTACATTTACGTGGCGAAAATAAATTATTTATTTGGTCAAGAACATTCTAAGATAGGGGAGGATGGGGCAGATTTGGACATTATTTTTCAGTAGGGAATATGTTCAAGATATTTAAAATTTTGTGACCGTTAATGCACAAATCGATCAGGACATCTGGCAAGATCACCGCAGAACAACCCTCCTAGAAGAATCCTTATGTCACAACCTGTGGGAAGTAGATGTAGGGGTAGGCCAAAACTCAGATGGAGGGATGGTGTAGATGAGGATGGTAGAAAAATAGGCGCAGCAAACTGGCAACAGTTGGTAATGGATAGAACTGACTGGCTTAATAGACTTGGGAAGGTCGCATCTCTTTTATATGGCACCAATGATGATGATGATGATAATGCACAAATCGATAGTTGTATCTGTTGTCTTTCAATATTTATCAACGAAACTACGAATAACCCACGGAAAAATATATTTTCTCTTCAACAGTGCATTTTTCCAATGTATCCCACCATGGCGTAGATTGGTACAGCTGTGGGGCAATAATTTGTCTAAGCCTTATAGACAAAAAAATATTTAATCTACAAAGTACTTACAAAGCCATTGTTCAGTTTTTATCGTAAAAATTTAATTGTTAGTTCACCATCAACTAGTTTTTCTACACGGCGTACAAAGTGAACAACTGTTTTCTTTATGCAAATTTTCCTAGCGCGAAGTCGCCTGCAAGTACCTTCTTATGTGAGTTTCTCTTGATCATTGTGCCATCTATGTCAGAATCTAAATTACAATCAGACATCCTAGCGCCTATGTGAGATTCTGAGGAACTGCAGTGAGATTATCTTTGGTTTTTTTAGTCTTCCTTTGTGCATGTTTTAATTTTTCACTGCCGTTAATTTTCATTTTTACATTTTACAACTTTGACTCTTTTGTTATTCTGTTCCTTTTCTTTAGCTTCTACTAAATTCTTTTCTGGTGAACTAATATTAAAGCACGACTTTCCTTTTTTCTACCACGGCTATTCTGCTTTATTTGCTGCGTACGAAATTGTAGAATATCTACTAACTTTACCCATTTAGGAGATTGTGTTGCTCTAAGGGAAGAAGCTTGGCTGAGAACATTTGCCAGCACCTCTTCGTTAAATCCGTAATAAATTTCAGAACATCAGCGTCCTCCAGATGTATTTCGAGGGTATGAGTAAAAGCTGGATCGTTTATAGCATTTATTTTAAAAACCCCTAGAGGTTATTGGTGTACGGTTATTTTTCACTTATAAAATTTTCTGGTAGGTCCAGCAAAACCAAAATTTAGGTTGTTTATTTGCCAAATTCTGGCTAACCAATTTTTAGAGTCATAGACACAAAAAAAATTAAAAAAAAGCTATTTATGATAGAAAAATATTTACACTCTTATAAACACAAAGTGTGAATACTTACGTATACTTAGCCCATCAGTATCTTTTCAGAATGTTTTCATAAATTAAGAACTAACTTCACAACAATTTTTAAACGAGAACATTGATTTGTTCAAATGTGTCCCACATAAAAATCTGCCCCGGCCTAACGTACGTGGATAAGTTTCGACTAAAAAATTGGTAAAATTTGTTGGGTTTCACAGACTTTATATTGTGTCGTGTGTATTTCACATAATAAAAGTTAAGCAAGAAAATAGATGTTGTAGTTTTGTACTGTTAGTCTGTTTCACTGCCCGCGGACTAGTGCAACGAAAACTGCAAACGGTACAGAAAACCTATTAAAGTAAGTTTTAACTTTCGGATTCGAAAAAAAAAACAATATATATCTTCTCATTAAATATATTATTGCTTATCTGTAATGTGATACCTAAGTTACCTTTTACTTGAAAAAACGCGTTTAAATGATAAAACATTTTCGGTGATGTTTTAGAAAAAATTGTTGATTTTTACGACGAGAAAATCAAATGAATTACTATTTAACTGGGAATATGCCACAATTAAAGGTTAAAATACGTTTATTGACGTTTCAATTTCTACTTGGGAAATCGTTCTCAAAATACAAAGAGTAAATTTAAATACTGTTTGTATGTTGACAACGATTTCCGAAGTGGAAATTGAAACGTCAATAAACGTATTTTAACCTTTAATTGTGGCTTAGGTATTCCCAGTTAAATAGTAATTAATTTAAAATGCCACAAGAAAATAGTTTTAGAACAATATTGAGAAAATCAAAATAGATTAGATGAAGTTACTTGTTTAGATTGTTAAACTTTTGTGAGAGTTAATATTATTACTCATAATATTTACGTCTACAGATTCTGATAAAAATTTTATGACTTTTTCTGTCGTTGTATATTATTTATTGTCTAGTGTTTATTAACTTTTTATAAAATTATATATAGGACTTAGTATAATAAAATCATGTGTATAGAGTCGCTATGGTAAACTGACGCCATTGGCCCAGACCCTACAAGAAGATCCAAGCCTTCAGCTGTGCTCAATTCTGCAGAAATACTATTTAGAAGCCGAACCCCAATATATAGAGTCAAATTTAAGAGAATCCGAAATTCCTCAACTATTTACTCTCAGACAGGGCGTAATTGTTTTAAGTAGACAATGGAAGAACACTTTGTATACACCTCTAATGCCACAACATTCCATAAAAAGCCGGATAAAACCAATTAATGTTACTATAACTGTACCTGATATACAAGAGGTAAGTTGATTTAAGATTATCGTTAACAAATAGTAGATTGGTTCAAATATTTTAGTATAAGAGTTATTTATGTTACGGTTATTATCAATAAAAAATATATAAAATGGGAAATGATAAAAGAGTAAACCTAGTTTTATTTAAATATTATGTTTATATGAGAAAGTACTGAATCATAAGTAACTGTCGGTCGTATCGCTGATGTGTATAACAATCAACGGTATAACCTATTATTACAGCAATTAAAAGCAATTACCTTTGCTTTTAACCCCCAGTATTTATCTACAACTCTTCTGCAGTTCTAGAAGAGTCTCGTAGCCCTATTGGTTATGTTGTTAATGTGGGACTCCATTTTGAGTTTGGTATCCAGAGATATCCCTAGATACTCGACCTCATTGGTTCTTTCTAGTTCCTTCCCAAATAATTTCATTTCACACTAATAACGCACTTCAGTAGACAGACAGATAGTATAAACGGTGTACCCCCTCTACGAGTGCATGATTTCTCCTCAAAAGAATAGGCGGTGCTTATCTGTACAGCAGGCTTATGGTCTATGTATTTGATCTTTAGCTGTGGTGGTAACGGGTTGAAAACAAATAATTAACACCAATATAACGTTGAATGTTCGAATAAATGAACTTTGATGGTACACAAGGCAAATATCGAACACAGTAGTTAATCAAATCTTGCCCAAGTACTTTCGATCACAAGATCATCCTCAGGGGCATTTCGTCAGTTGTGGCCTATCCAGCAGTAATAGAATGTTATAAATGTAAATTGGGACATAACAAATGCACTAAACAAAGACAAACAAACACTTTAAAATTTAAGAAATGGAGAAGCTACATTTTATATAGAAGCCGGAGACAGAATGATTCTGTCTCCGGCTTCTATATAAAATGTAGGTTCTCGGTACTTGGGCAAGATTTGATTAACTACTGTGTTCGATATTTGCCTTGTGTACCATCAAAGTTTAAATAATTAACATTCCAAGCGTATACTTTCGAGAACAAAAGATTCAAATGATGAAATGGTATTATGGGAACTATTGTATTGTAGATATAATACAATTGTTTATTGCTGCTTTTGAAAATCTCCCAATTCCGACAGAGAAAACAGTACGATTAATTATTAAAAACTTATAAATCATATAATACCTATATGAAATGTCCACCGGATCAATCATGATTAACGAACAAGTTTGTTTAACTGCTGAAGAAACGCCTTTTCGAGTATACAAATTGCGGACGAAGTTGACCTAAAGGAGAGAACTGTAAGAAATATTTTAAAACGAAATGGATACAATTATTGCTATAAAGTGCAAACCAATCAAGAACGTAAAACTTTTTCCAGACGATCATTTTAAACGTATGGAATTTTGTAAAACTATGATGGAGAAATCGAATGAGAACAATAACTTTTTAAAAAATATTTTGTTTTCCGATGAATCTTCAATCACTATCCATAAATACCATAATGCATCTGTCTTCCGCTATTGGTTTAGGGAAAATAAACATTGTGAAAACACAATACGCGAAAAATTGAAATGTGTGAACAAGACTTTATAACGATAATATAATTATTCCATTTTTTATTACGGGAAGTCTGAATGGACGTAAGTATCTAGATTTATTACGCAATCAGATTATTCCAGCAGTTCGAAATCCATCCATTTGCCCAGCACATAATGCAAACGAAGTTACAAATTATTTGAAATGAACATTCCCTGGGCGATTACGAGGAGCAATAAAATGGTCCCCTACATCACCAGATTTAGCACCTTTGGATTTTTATTTCTGAGGAATACTAAAATCAAAATTATATCGGCATGAATTCGAACGAGTCACCAATTTAGCAGAATTGCAAGAAAAAATTGTAACTCTGTGGTCGGGTACAGCCAAATCGGCTGAATGCACTGTAACTTGTTTAGTTGATAGATTCGGATTCTGTTTAACGGAAAATGGTGGTTTGTTCGAACATTTCATTGGTTAGAGATTTTTTTTAAAAATGCCTTTAATTTGAATTTAAACAACATACGCCGCCATCTGTGAGTGACGACTAAAAGTCACATGTGAGGCCCAGAACATCAAATAAGTCTAGCGATTAGGCAATTTTTTTTTTTTCGTAAATTTTTATTTTAAGCTAGCGAATCAGTTTTACTACTGATACTAAATACTAAAAATAAATTGCGAACAATTTTACTTCCATCCATTTTTGTTCTATATTGTATGATATTTTTTAATTATATAGGAAGAGGTGCACAAAATAGTGGTTTGAAAATCAATCAGGCTAAAACAAAATTGGACAATTTGTAATAATTTTAATGTTATATCATGAAAATAGCTCTTATACTAATTTAATTTGTTCTATTTTTTATGTTTCTTTAGGTGAACCAAAATTATGAGATTGGCTATAAAGTTGTAAGACACAGTAAGAAATTTGAATTTAATTATTTTTGAAACTTCGTCTAGTTTCTAGTCCATTAGCTTTTCTTGTCACAGCACTAACTCATTACTTCTGGTGCTACGTATTCATTAGAATAATTATAGCTTTCAAATAAGTAAATATATAGAGTACATTCGATTGGCTGAAAAAATAGTTTCAGTTTTTGCTAATCGATGGTAGATACAGCTTTTAATGGTAATTTGAATACTTTTATATTGGCACTACTGTATAATGATACGAGTTAAGTCTTTGGTTTTCTAATTTTATTTATTTTATATAAAAGACATACTTAACAAAGCAGTTATAAACATAAAAAATACTAATTATTGATTTACTTTTAAAATTAGTCAGCAATACACCTTAACAATGCATTTCAGTGTTACTAAACTAAAATAAATGCCTTTAAACATAAATTCTACTGTTTCTTCAGATTATGTAATCTAATTTGCATCTTCTGTGGTAACCGAAAGTCTTTTGTATTGCGTTGGTTATACAATAGCTTATCATATAATCCAAGTAGAGACAGGAAAATATAAGCATTTGCTTACTGTAAATTCGGTAAATGTGTCCGGTTACATTCGTACTGGGCGTAATACTGAAAAGGCGTTTAGGGTTGGACATTATAAAAGAAACTGTTTTATTTTATCAATATATTCATTTCTAAATATGATTAATCAACTTGATGGTTGTTCACCAATGTAAATGTCGTTTGGTTTATAGAGGTCGCTATAATGTCGTTTGATGAAAGTTTTCAGTAAGCATTTCTAAGTACACACATCAGTTTCTTTAAAGCGTGAATACTGTTTTTGCATACGTCTTATGTGTTTCAGCAAATTATCTTGTATGGTCTTGGAGAAACCACTATATTTTTGTAGTTTTTTGTTTGTTGGTCTTTGCTTTACAATTTAATAGGCTGTTGAAAGTTTATTGCTTAAAATGAGATGTAAAAATTAATAAGATATTTTCCTAAATAATTTTTGTAATCTAGAAGTTTTCGTTCTCGGTAAAAAATTTATCGATGTTTCATATTGAATCACAAAGCACGAATTCAGAGAGTAAATATACTTCACATTGAAAAGAACCGTTTCAATATCCTTTACTTACCAACCGTTGGTACCTTAACCCATCTTTTACCAAGGGTAAGAAAAATTAATATAATTTTACAAAAACAACAAAATTGTGGCATTTTTATGTTATCTACTATTTTTAATAGGAATTAACCACGATTTGAGTGAAAAATTAATTTATTTTGACGTTTCAATTTCTCCTTCGGAAATTTCGCCAGAAAATGGTTTAAAGAGAATGTGCGTATTTTTAGTATGAAATATGTTATCTACAGTTTGTAACTACTTACTTCAGTTTTTATTCCATACTCTCTCTTCTTCTACATCTAACAACTTGGATTGTAAGTAATCTTCTTCGAAATAGAAATCATTTGAACACAGCCATTTATTTTCAGAATTGTTTGGAACTCTTTAAAACTTTCTGGAGTGATAGGACCCGTTGTCAGTTACTGCAACAGTTTTCTCAGGATTATTTGGAAGAAGTTTAGTTTTAAACGAATTTTCAAAAATAGATCCATGCATTTCGTTACAACCTGTTGTATTTCTTGCTAAGAAAGGTAGTTCGACGCCGTTAATTAAATCATATTTACTTCCTACATGCGAAGCGCGGACCACAAGTAGTGATCACGTAGTAGCTGGTTTTAAGCCTCTAGAGAGTCCACAAACAAATGCGTTCCTATATAACGATACGGACCCAATATTGATCGGTGCTAAAGAGGGTATGAAAAAATGATGCTGAAGATAATATGCTTGTATGCTATGATAAGTATAGGTATACGAGCCCTAACAACTATATAATGGGACAAACTAAAATCCATGCAAAATTTAGATAGTTGCAGTTTATTTTTTCTAATTATGTGTTTAATGTATTACTATGTAATTAGTTAATTACTAATAATTAGGTTCAATCAGCAACACAAAACAAAATATTCTTACTATAACAAAACTAATTAATAATAAAGAGTGTTTAGTTTGTTGACAATTAAATATTGGGACATAGAACGAATATGTATTTTTAAAACAGAGTAATACCCTCTTTATACTTCAGAGGTATATTCGTTGCAAATCTGCTCTATTCTGGCTTTATGTTCATGTTATGGCCATTGTGGGTTATTCGTAAGTGTCATTTATGCTATACTGTTTCAATCACATTTAATTTAGGACTTTTAGAAGACCAAGAAAGGAAATTTATATTGTGGTTTTCAAACCACTTTGTGGTTCTGGCCGTATAACAGACCGCTTCGTCCTGCTGCAAAATGTAATTCCGATTAGCATTTAAATTCATAATACTTGGTAGAAGGATATTTTGAGTAATTTTTGATATTTGCTAGTATTTACGGTATCCTCAATAAATTAAAAACATCCTAACCCTGAAACTGCCATACAACCCTAAATCACCACTCATTTAGGAAATTTTACGTTCCGTTTCAAAGTCTTTGTGAAACGCCTCATGCTTAGTGCGGATAACTCATTTGCGGTAATCATCCGTCAATACATACGTCAAATTTTGATTCTTCACTAAAAATTACTCGGGACCAATCTTCTACCGACCAAAGAATATTAGATTTTGTCCAAATGAGCTTGGCTTGCTTTTGTTTAACTGCTACCCGTTTCTTTTACTTTGCCTAAAAGAAAATATGTTAAACTATATTAAACCACAAGTACATTTTTAAGTTGTTACCTGTAATACAACCTTATAAAACTTTCCACATTTATGTTTCCATTTGCAACAGCATTCCCTTGGCATATTTCAGTTTGATTCCAGTTTTATGATTCCATTCAACTATTATATGCCTAGTATTTCTAGAGCATTTTGCAAACGTTTACTAATATTCTCCTATTCTTACTAGAAACAAATTTTTTGACGAACCAGGCTTTGACCTTTTTTTATCTAAGAGACTTCATGTTTTCTCATGCCTAATTATTTTCTACACTATAGTTTTAGTAATATTAATTGCATCCGCCACTTCAAGGATTTTTTTATTATGGCAATAATTTTTAATCGCCAACTCACAGATATTTGAATTTGTACAGATATCATGCACCATTTTATTGAAATAAAATATAATAATAAATAATACAGCAATTCACTCAATTTGATAAGAAATAAATTGTAGAATATAGTTTGACGTTTGTTAGAATGTTCGGCAGCATTATTTTCGCAGCCTAATTGTCTTTTTAGCACTTACTTCATACTGTCACAAACAGTATTTAGCTGTCATTAATTTTTACATATTTTGATGCTCCTTATGACATTAATAGGTTATGTGGGTTGTATAAAAAGATAATAATAAATTCTCCTGAATTTGTTATTTTAATATCTTTTAATTTGTCCGAATTGTAATTTAAAGTGATATATTGTTAAATGCTCGAATATATGAACTTTACTTAAATAAAAGGCAGATATCGAGCACAGTTTTTTATTAACTCTTGCCCAAGTATTTTCGCTCTCTTGGCATCGTTACATTCACACTACGTCCACTTCATTTGCCCCCAAATTAACACCTAAATTATCACTGACAGGTTTGAGTGTGATACCTGGATTATACAATCTACATAAAGTAATTAATATAGTTTCATATTTCATCAGTTGACTTTTCCTATACTAGTGGTCAGTTGGACTTTTGGTCTATGTTTAGTTTACCATATAATTTTGAAATGTGCAGGTTACCATGACTGTGACCGCTCATCCAAGCTGTCTTATGTCAGATGTCACTTTAACATTTCCATTAAGACCAGGAGCCATTTTCTCTCCTGCTGTTACCCACAATGTAACTTCTAGATAATTTTAAACTGTTTGTCTTTTGCCTAGTGTTAGTTTTGTGTAAATGTACTATTTAATGTATATGACATTCATTGAAGTGCCGGATAGCCTATATTTTTGACGAAGTAAGTCTAAAACGTTATATAAACTTTTTTTATCAATTATCAACCTCGAGTTGTCTCGAAGTTAATTAATCTTCCATCACTTAAAAAAACGTTTATTGGCTTATTTCAGATGAAGATGCTATGAGAGCGAAAGTACTTGGGCAAGATTTAATAAAAAAATATCCTCGAATTGTAATTTGTCTAAATTTGTTATAATATATTTTAACCTGTCCCATTATATAGTTGTTAGGGCTCTTTGACGTAATACTAGATATAATAAAAAAAATTCTAAAGAGAGAAATTCAACTTATAATATGTGGTAGTGGAGAAATCTTAAATAGCTAACATATGTATGGACAGCATTTGGGGAAATAAGAAGATAGTATGGTAAACAGGTTAATTTAGTAGAATTATGGAACTTGAACAAGTGCCAGATGAGTAAAAAGTATCATCTTAGTGCATTTGTACAAAAAACAAAGATGTCAAAAATGGACAAACTATCTTGTGGTGTCATACTAAATTTTTAAGTAAATTTCTATCTGTCTCTTTTGCATATATGAGCTCAAGGTCTTTACAACGTATTTATTTCCTTTTAACATCTTAACTACTTTAACTTTTTATTGGAGATTAATTATAGTCACGTTCTTCATTACTGCTTGGTATTGGACTGTGAATTTTCAATATTTTTTTATTCACAATATTAAAAATGTGTTTTGTTAATCTTAGACCGATAAATCAGGAAAATTCATACACAATGTATTGCTTACTAAATTTGCATTTAAACAATTATTTCTTTTGGGTTTTATCATATATAATTGACACATTTTGTTTGCTAAATATGCTTTTTATCCTTTATGTATTCGATCTAACATAACATTACACAAATATTATACACTGACAACATTTACAGTATTGCCAATTTATCATTTCGTTCAACAACCTTGTAGCACTGATCGGCAACTTTTTTTATTTTCTGTGCTCACAAAACCTTATTGTTATCTTATTTCGAATTTGTCACCATATTTTTGTGCTTTTTTATCACGAACAGGAAACGTGCATGACGGACGGTGAGGTGAGCGGCAATGAAGAGCCCGATATTACCGACGAACATGCGCGGTTGCTACACGCTGGTATCATTCTTAAGCCAAACGCTCATAGAAACATGGGTAGGTTAGGTTATTTATCATTAGTTTCACTTTAGCTGTGTTGTGTTAGTTGTGCTCTGTTCAACATACACTCGATTTTAATAAAACAAAGAAATAATCTTATACAGGGAAGCGACGACTAATTAATTACCAGGCTTTTTATGAAGCTCTTGTCTAGAATAATTAGTTATCCTAGTGTCATATTTAGATGTAACGTCGAAACTCGGACTATTATTTTTAATTTGTAAACTAAATTTTAATAAATATTTTAGATATATGTAAATTCTCCAACAAATGTTTACTCTTTTTAAGTTTTTCGGGGTTATATGTCGAAGATATGAAATTATTTCTTACTGAGCTTTCGTATACGACTGTAATAGACACTATCAATAGCGGTGCGGCAACGGTCCGAGTTGCTTTCCTGAATCGTTAATCTCAATTAGTAAAACAATTGCCGCATTACTTTTTGTCTTCTCCAATTGCAGATAAAAACGACAGGAATAAATAATTTTAGATCATGGATTATAAGCCCACTATGTAGCATTACATTCATGTTTTCATGCATGTCCTAAATACTCTAATTGTCCAGATGTACTGTAGCTTAGTTTGCAATTTTCATGTGTATTACTTTCTGGTTAGTTCCTGTTAGTTTGTTCTTAGTAAATTCTTGTTCCAAGGCTAAAACCTGGGTGCCGCCTGGTGCTATGAGTTCTTCCATGAGAACAACCTAGGAATGTATGGTTACTCCTAGCAGAGCTCCGAATGCAGGACTAAGGCTAAAACCTGGGTGTTGCCTGTGTTCGGAGTTAGCCATTCATAGTTTTCTCTCAGTCGTGCCTACCTCACAGAATTAACAGTGATGACCGAGCATGAAGTGTACGGTACCCCGAGCAACTCATATCTTTGTTGCATATTTTACGGACCACTTTCAACAGTTCAGGCTTTGCGGGTATCAGCCTTAGCTTATCATCCTAGTGTGTTAAGTAAGTATTCAATTAAAAGTGTCTTTAACCTCCGTCTAGATTGAAGTTACAGTGGAGTAAAGATATAACAAAAGGAAGAAAATAAAAATATATGAGACCGTGGTTAAAAATATTCTCCTAAATTGCACTGAAAGAAACGTATAGAAACGGTAGAATAGATATAATCAAAAGATTTTTATGTATTTCCAGACAAGAATGAAATAATAAAGTAACGAATGGGTATAGAAGGAAATATAACCCAAGATATCGAGAAGAAACAACTGAGGTGTTATGGACATGTCCAACGTATGCCGGAAATAAGACTAATTACAACAACATTCAAAACAACAAACATATTGAGATTTATTTTATCTAAAACTAAACCTAACAATGAACAAGAAAGGACAAAGAAATGCGTTTATAAAATACCTTGTAAATGCGATCAGTTTTATTTAGGTGAAACATCAAGGCCATTAAGTGTTAGAATAAGTGAACATCAATATTATATTAAAAATAGAGAATTTGATAGATCTTAAATATGTAAACACGCATGGGATAATGAACATAGGGTTCAATGGTCCTTTAAATATAGTCCTAAAAGAAACGGATGGTAAAAAGAGAAAAATCAAAAAAGCAGCTCTAATTATGCTAAATGAGACCAATTGTGTTGCAAATTCCTCGGCAGAATGTAGTAGGATCTGGTTACCCATAATAAAAGAGGAAGTTACTAAAAGAAAAATACCAGTATTAGTTTTTCTCTCATAATTTACTATGGAATCACTAATAGGAGATTTTTACTGTGATCATGGCCTGTGTTTGTCTTTTTGAAGACGAATTACATGCTATGATTGATAGATATTCTCAAGTTAAAGTTGATTTCATGCAATCAAATGAACTATCTTATAAGTAAAGTCGTCCCAGGAACGCAACTCAATAATATTGGCAATAACCTTTTAAATTCGTCTACTTTAAAATGTATAATGTATGTCTGAATTGTCAATATAAATGAGTCAGATAAAATTAAATTATTAGAAGAATTTTTTACCAAATAACCAAAAAACAAAAGGACGTCGAAAGAAAGTATGATCCAGATTAAAATGGCAACAAGGATTAAATAGGTCTATGAGCTAAAGAAATTTAACAACGAACAATTTCGACGATAGATAGAGATGTCGTTTATTAGATATTGGACAAGGTTTATTTACACAGCGAGGACAAGATTGTAATAACCTTTTTGCTTGCCTTTGGCCTGAAATATTTTTCCAGTTGACTACACCAAGTTTCTTTTCCCATTTCCAGGCATCCTCTACGTTGTGAGTTTTTGGTATACCACAGAACGGCTGTGTTCTACAGATACTAACCTGTACCAACAATTTCTTTATGCCCTGGTATCCGCAACAAGCTATCGACTCATAAGTCGTAGATTTCAGAGCCTTCAATGCAGCTTGACTATGGCATACAAATTAAACAAATAATTTGTTTAATTTGTATTTTGTGACCAATTTCCGAGACGGAAATCGGACAATAATCAAAACGTTATTTATATAAAGTATTTTTAATTAAAACTGAAGGTCATGCCCTTTAAAATATTATAGTTAATTTACTTCATTCCAAACCAAACGATGTTGACACCGATCATGACATAACACTTTTGTGTGTCAGTAACAAATTCAAATGGATATCACCCGTTAAACGTTTCACAATTTCAAATGAATATCATCCATTCTCTTTAGCAATCTAATGCTGTGATTGGCTTGTTTTTTATAATCCAGAAAAAAATTAAAAAGCTTCACTGACAATTGTAAAATAATCAGTTCAAACATTATAAATTTCACTTAAATGAATAAGGTAAAATTTTTCATAATTTTGAATAACAGCAAACCAGTAGTTTACAAACTGAGCAATGCACCATGGTGTTAAATCATTTGTATAGATCTGTAATTTTCAAAATGATTGAAATGAGAACAAATAAAATCGATGATCAGGACTATAAAAAGAAAATGTCATTTCCCACCAATGGCAAATTGGGGAAAATGAGCAATACATATATATCTACAAACATAAAATTGAAATCCTAGTACATAATCACATAGAAATCAATGGAGTCATCTTGAAAAAAAAATTGTAAATTAATTTTATTGCATTATTTTCTATTTGAATAATTTTAATTATCTTTAATATAGTTAAAGAATCGTTAGATCTCTAATGTCAGTCGCTTTATTTTTCAAAACTTGAATTGAACCCTAAAAGTGAGCTGGAATATCAAATATCTATCAAATTTTTACCATAAATTAAGAAAATAAAAAAAAAATATCAAGGAACCCAGACATTCGCATCTTATTAGTTACTTTACGTACCCTCCGAATACAGTGACAGCTCGTTATCGTTTTTAGAAATGAAAATATATTGGTGCCGAGAATCGAACTCGTGTGACTTAGAAGACCAGCATATTGGTCGCTGGGCTACGGCTGCCTCTGTTGGCCTAGTAAAGCACCTGTACAAACAAGCCACGTCAAAAATTGCATTAGGAAATATCTATCAGAAGAATTCCTAGTAACAGAATAATTGGGACAGGGATGTTGTCTTTGAGGTTTAAAATATATCTAAATGAAGTTCTGAGAAAGTGTAGAAGGTGTACAAATTAAAACCTGACTATCAATGAAAACAATAGAATTAAGACCGTCCGCACATGGGTCGATCGAAGGCACGCGTCTAAATTCATTCGTCGTGCTCGTCTTATACGAACTCTGCAACATGAGCGATTGTTCACACTAGTCGATTCAGTTTGCTGTTTGCTCACATCTGCCAACCAGGAAGAACGCATTTTTTATATATCCTTATTGGCATATTCTTTCATTGTATAATTATACAATTGAGGGTATTTTTACACTTTCCAAACGAATTTTATATTAAACACCTAGAAAGAGTAATTCAATGTTTTCAGAATTTTATATTACAAACAATATATTTCCACAAAGCTAGTAGTACTACAAACAACGAACATAATATTCGTCGATCTTAAAAAAAATTATTTTAGGGCAAAAAAACAATAAAAAGCGAAGAAAGCAAATACAATAACCTTATCCCCATGACTGAAAACGTGCGTCTCACTCGAACTTTCTCGTGCGCTACTAATCGCATGTGACGAGAGTTGTACAAGACGAGGAGATTTGCAATTCTAGACGACCACTAAACGCCCCGTCTGCGGAGCTCATTGCAACAACGAAGAAACTTGGGCGGTGGGGACAGACCTACGCGATTGAAATCGAGTCGACCACTTCGAGCGTGCAGACGCCCTAATACTTGTATGAAGGAGTACACATTTAGACACTACAATAAACTATAGTGGCAGCACTGAAAAGAAATTAGATGAAAGGATTAAAAGAGAAACAAAGTTTATAGGGTATGTAAGTTCAAACCTGAGGTCTTAAGGTATATCTCGAGAAAGAAAATATCTCCTCTTTAACTCAGTCTTTAAAAGTATTGAAAAAGACTGTAAGACTTGTACACACTTCTAAATAGGTCTAACTGGTAAGCAGGTTTTGTATGTTTTCAATAAAATTGATAGTGTGTAAAATAATTTATTAATTAGGCTGAGTATACTTTTGACATAATAAATGTCATCATCAGAGCTATCGTCAATTAGGCAATAAATACTTCATAGAAGGAAAATTGTGGACAAACAACATATTAAAAAACAAAGATCGGGCTCTCTAGGCCACAGATCTTGGGTCTAACCCTTATACATATGTATAATTCACATAAAAAAAATATATAAAATAAAAAAATTAAAAATAATTTTTTTTTATGTGAATTATACATATGTATAAGGGTTAGACCCAAGATCTGTGGCCTAAAGAGCCCGATCTTTGTTTTTTAATATGTTATTTGTCCACAATTTTCCTTCTATGAAGTATTTATTGCCTAATTGACGATAGCTCTGATTATGACATTTATTATGTCGAAAGTATACTCAGCTTAATTAATAAATTATTTTACATACTATCAATTTTATTGAAAACATACAAAACCTGCTTACCAGTTAGACCTGTTTAAAAG